AGTTCGAAGATATGGAAGTACTCTCTAACCAGCATTGGAAGAGAAATCTATCAAAGCTTTTTATAATTCCCCAAACCAAGACCTGTATAACCACATCCTGATCGACCACCCACAAAAAAAATTTTTTTTATATGAATCACAACATTGCTAAGCTTGACATGTTACTGTTAAGGCACGGTAGGAGGCCGGGGTGGTGACCGAAGGGTTGCGGGTTCGAGTCACTCAACGGCACGGTGTTGTATCTTTGAGCAAGATACTTAAGATACTTTACTATGCTTATTCCAGTCTACTCAGCTGTAAATGAGCACATGTTTGTGCATTGCTAGAATTGTTGAATGCTAGCTGTTAGCGCCGAAATGGCAGCTCCGGTTGTATGCTCCACTGGGAGTTGAGAAAGATTATGGTCCGACCAGTTCAACCATTTTAGCGAAAACGGCCCAGCTGGAATCCTGCCGTTTTACCTTAATACTGAACACCTTCACAGCTTTAATTCATTTCAGAGTTATTTCTGCCGAAGTGCAATGGACCCATTCATCCCTTTGATGCCTTGTTTGTATATCTCACATATAGCACGGTACCACTGGACCAAATAATATACAACAAATTGTCATGCAGATCTCAGGGGTGACATCAACCTTTCCACGGGACAGCTCAATCAATTAAGGCTTTTATCGTGAACCAAAAACCTATGAATTCTGTGTTTCAAATACTGGTAACAGTGTTTCCCCAAGGTTTTGAAATTGGCGTTTTGTTTTACTTAAGTCGGTGATTTCACTTTTTAACACTGTCTATTCTGCAGTGATATAGCAAGTTGAAATTTTGTGAATATATGCTTTTGTTGGCACTGATCATGAATACTGTAATCTCAATCTGATTAAAATTAGATTATCGCATTGCTCCCGTTCACTGATATGTTGTGTGGGAACGACATATTAGTAAATGTGAGCGATGCGAAGATCAGATTTTAATTAGATTGCTGTTATCTCAATAATCCCCGATACTCTGTATTATGATGTAGCCTGTTCTAATAATCAGTCAAACTATTATTGGTATCAGTGTGGTAATTTGTCCTTGTACTTAAGCCTGGGATATTAACATTTACATCCTTCCTTTCAAGAGACATAAAAAAGCTACAACTCTGTCGTGTTGTTACATCAGTATTGATGCCAAACGTTTGAACACATAACTTTTCCCATCATTAATATGACGGTTTATAACACAACAGCGAAGAGACGTAAAGTTCAATTGTCTGTGCATTGTCTCCTCGGAGACAAAACTATCCAGCTATTAGCTACTTGTATGATATCATCCACTTCTAAAGAATGATCGAGGACCATGCCACCGTTGCAGAAATTACTGAAGCTGTAAACCCAGCAATAAAGCTGGTACTCAAGGCTATCCCAATAATTTAGTGTTAGCACAGGGAATTTACAGCAATTCTCAAAAGTACAGGGGCTATAATATATGTATAATTCAAGGATAACAGAAAATAGGATGGGCTACTTCCAGTTTCAATTTAATTTTGCAGTGATAAAGTTTTGTGAACGATGCCTAGCAAACTTTTGCATATACCATAACTCCAGATTGCACACATGAGGTGGTCGTACACAAATCAATATAAAACAAGACCGTACTTGCAAACTTTTTGAAATTTCAATAGGGGGAGATTCTGCAGGCTCAAAATTAAAACATAAATATAATGTATGTAATTACACCCACTAGAGACACAATAACTCTTTAATATGACATATTTTGAGTTGTTCTTTCAGATGAAATCAATAGATCTTATAGAATTTAGGAACAGTTAAACAAATTCACTTTTTGAAAACACTTAATTCAAAGTTCCAAAATTGGGAGGGTTAATTGGCAACCATGCTTTTGGGGTAACAGGCTATTTCTGTACAGGTAAACCCGTTCTAAAGGATTCTAGCAGGTTTACTTGCCTGGTGCATTGTAAATGTTACCATAATCCTGTTGGGTCAAGGGTCTGAAATCATTTTTGTTTGTTTACACATTTCATCAGACAGCAGGTAAACAGGTCTATTCATTTTGCGTGTGTCAGTTTTCATCGAGATTATAATACTGTCATAAAATTGTGCTGGGTACAGTTAAATTTGCACAAAATCTGAAGGCAAGGAATACACCAAAATGAAATCCCCACATGTAATACTGATTATACAGCTGACAGCAAGCAATGGAAATATTCAAATCATTTGGGATAGTAATTTTATAGGAAAATAAAACAAAGCACCTTTATATTTGATTATGATTGTCTGTATCATCAGGACTCTTGTAGTTCACATGAAAAGCACCTTTATGATCATCTGTATCAACATGACTCTTGTAGTTCACATGAAAGCACCTTTATGATCATCTGTATCACCATGACTCTTGCAGTTCACATGAAAGCACCTTCATGATCATCTGAATCACCATGACTCTTGTAGTTCACATGAAAAGCACCTTCATGATCATCTGTATCACCAAGACTCTTGTAGTCCACATGAAAAACACCTTCATGATCATCTGTATCACCATGACTCTTGTAGATCACATGAAAGCACCTTTATGATCATCTGTATCACCATAACTCTTGCAGTTCACGTACCTACACCTTCTTCAGTAATTTACATGTACCTGTATGTACAGTAACGTTTTTTCTCATACATATCCAGGTAATCTATATATTGTGAATCTGAGGCAACTGTTTTTTCACAGTTCACACCACCTATATCCTGAAAGTCATACAGACAATGGGTCTAGATCCTTTGACTATACCCTAGCTCCATATAGTCTCAACAGACAGCTACCATCAAGTTTATTACTGTAGTATTATATATGGTAGAATGAGTGCCCACATTTTCTATCCAAGGGCCATCGTATAATGTGTTGAGACGTAATGAAAGTATCAACTCATATCTCCAGCGCTATAAATTGACAGGTCAGAGAGGTTCAAATGTCAATATATATATATAGGGTCAGTTTACCAACATCATACACTGTGAGGATCACATCAAGTCTACATGGTCCATTGATTTATACAGTCAGAATAAAATCAATAAGTGTGTATACACCACCATGAACAGTACACAACATGCAGTCAGATCCCGGTGGAATTGTACTGTATTATATATGTATTCATCTCCACTTTAGCTGATCATATTATGAGAGATAGTTGCCATATTATGACAAAAAGCAACTCTTTTCTAAAGGAAAACAATTCTCTGATTACATCTACATTCATACCTGTAAACATCAAAGGCAAATGCACAGAAACATGGAAAAGAGAGTTATCCATTTGTCATCAATATCATTATTCTAGCTGTCATCTTTCCAGACATCAATATGTAGCTCTCCCTTAATCCAGACATTAGTATAGCTCTCCATTAATCCAGACATTAGTATAGCTCTCCATTAATCCAGACATTAGTATAGCTATCCATTAATTCGTATATCAGTATAGCTCCCCATTAATTCGTATATCAGTATAGCTCCCTATTAATCCAGACATCAGTAAAGCTCCCCATTAATCCAGACATCAGTATAGCTCCATTAATCCCGACATCAGTAAAGCTCTCCATTAATCTAGACATCAGTATAGTTCCCCATTAATTCAGACATCAGTATAGCTCCCCATTAATCCAGACATCAGTAAAGCTCTCCATGAATCCAGACATCAGTATAGCTCCCCATTAATCCAGACACCATTATAGCTCCCCATTAATCCAGACATCAGTATATATAGCTCCTTATTAATCCAGACATCAGTATAGCTCCCCATTAATCCAGACATCATTATAGCTCTCCATTAATTATAATCCTTACATCACTGTAGTTCTCATTTATCTTGCCATCAATATATAGCTCTCCATTAATTATAATCCTTAGTCACATCACTATAGTTCTCATTTATCCAGACATCACTATAGCTCTCAATTAATCCAGACATTAGTATAGCTCTCTATTAATTTAGACATCATAGTGCAGCCCCCGCCTTTCACCAAGACAGCCAAGTTTGCATTGATTTCCCAATATGAAATGAAAAGGTATGAGGTTGCCCATCTGACCAAACATGTTTTAATGATATTTTGGGTTTCCTCCCACATCAAGACCCCCCAACAAGCTTCTGTCTGGGTTAGCAAGTTTGATTAATTAATGTCTATATAAGTTTATATAATTTGTTTCACAATTAGTGCAAGATAGATTACATTTATAGTCATATATTGCTATCTTCGTTTTAAAAAAACCCAGTGATTATCTCTATGATGACCAGCAATGTTTTACTGATATAGACATGGATGTCTGTGTACTAGTATTAATCATATTGGTTAAAACAAGACAAATCATTTGCAAAGCATTGATGCCACCCACTGAATGGAAAGCATCAATCGATCCTTGAAAAGGTCCTCTGTTTTTCAAATATTGTGTTGGCTAAGCCAACTGCATGATTCTTCTACTTCTACCTGGTAATTGAGTCAAAAATTGACCTACTTCATCATATTGGAGATCATGTAGACCTATATATTTGTGTTGTGTTTATGTACCAGAAATGTTCCACCATTTAAGGTAAATACTAAAGCAGTATATTATAAGACTTTAGGTTGTTTTCATCTTTTTAGAAATGCTAATTACTGATAGTGTAATCATAATAGTCCTTATAATTATGTACCACCATGCATATAAAAATAATATTTGAATACAAAATTAATTAATCATACAATTTGACCTTGCAGCAAACACCACTTTTATGTATATCTAATATGTGTGAGTGTGTATCATTAGCCTACATAAACTACCTGTGTAACCAGAATATCTGGAAAGCTTTAGAAATATGGTGTAATATATAGGTTTTACTACACCCTACACTACAGACACAGCTGTCAACAAACAGTATGGTAAAACATGGTCCCTGCGCCTGAGGCAGGTGTGCATGTCTGAAGGAATTAATTTAGCTTACAAGCTTAAGTTAAATAAAAAAGCTATTTTCAGTGATTACTCACACAGATAGGATATAAATACATCCAATACAGCGAACTCATAAACATCAGTCTTGACTTTCATGATGTTATTGTAATGTCTTGCCAACTGTTGATTACGACGAAACCGTTCACAACTTGCTGTCGTGTTCATTTCCTGATCAATCAACAACTGTACACATCGAAGTTATTATACAAGATGATCATGACTCATCACTGTGACATATAAAAGACTAGCCACTCAAGTGACAAAGCAATTTGCCATCACAAATAAGCTGTAACGTGTAACGTGGACTGACCTCACCATAGTGTGTCCCTGCTCCCTGTGAGTCGGCAAACTTCAATGAAGTTTAGCACTCCCAGTAAACATGTCCCGATTCTTTTACAAAACATCATACTGTTCTGTTTAAAATATGTATACTTACAATTAATCCTCGTATGGAATCACGAGAAAAGATTACTGATCGTCTGCTGCAAAATCCTACTGCCAGCTGTAGGCTGCTGTCATAGGCCTTAGCGAAGATAGTCAACGGCAGCCATGTTTTTTTCCAAATGCGTGAATTGAAGAAGAGTTATCTCCCCTTTCACCGCCCACATAATCTTACATCTTTTTTACACAAAAAAAGGAATAGGATACAAATACACACAATATAATTAGTAATGGCATAGTCCTAATGGAATATATAGGATTTAATGTCTCTTAGTATTAATCAAAAATTAAATAAACTTAATTAAATAAACATTATGAAAAATAATGCTTAACTTTACAGGCCTAAATATTTTCATTTTCATTTTGTTAAACATAGTATTTCATCGGCAGCACGATTTACCCAAAAACGCCCAAAATCATTAATTATTTACAGATATTAATACTACTGCTACCTGACATTAGGAACATTTATTACATACTTACTAATAAATACGGGTTGTTTAGTATATGCGATACATATGGGTTGCTCTAATTAACCCATATCAGCCCTCTCCGTATCACACCCCAAAACCTGTATCAGCCCCGCCGTATCACACCCGAAAACCAGTATCAGCCCTCTCCGTATCAGCCCGCAAAAACTCGTAATCACACCCCTTTAGGACATTTTTCGTTTTTCAATATTTCAAAAGAAAAATAGATCATAAGATAGTAGCTTTTATTAGTAAGTATGAAATAATTTATAAACAGAATAAAAACACACCTTTCTCCATATCACACCCAGTATCAACCCTCGACCAATATCAGCCCGAGGGCTGAACTGGGCTGAAAAAAGTCATGTATTATTCTCTAATGATATTTCCCGTTAATCTATTGGATAGTTTTTACGTATTTTAGTTACTTCCCCTGCAAACAAGTTTACCGTTGGCCATTTCACAATTCCCGATGACAGAAGTTTTATCGATATTTGGTATATAAAATGGAATTTTACTCACTCTTTCCACAATATTTTATACAGAGAAGAAGTAAGAGAAGGTTAAGATAAAGGAGAGAGGAAGGTAAAAAGAAAACTTCGAGACTGATGTCGTATTCAAGAGTTGTAAACACTTGTTTCCTGATTGTTGTAAAATAAATAAAGTTAATATATATTTATTCAGAAGAAATTAAACTAATAGTGTACCACATAAAAATACATATCATTACATACAATTAACATCATTAGCTACTTTTAAATGCAATACAATCTTTACAATGCAAGCCGTAAAAGTGTGCATGTGAAAACTTATACAAATCGCTTTGATTAAACAGAGACATATATACAGCCAGTAGTATATACGTATATGGATTTTATAATGAAACTTTGTACACATTCAAATACGTTTTTTTTTATTATTATTTTGTACAGAAGATAGATTGCTGTCACCAGGCAGTAAAACTTCAATGGGAAGCTGATCTTGGAAAGATGCAAAACTTGCTTGTCAGTACGTTCATAATTTCGACAAAGTAATAAATAAGGTTTACTTGTTTCGTTTGCCACACGACAACAGAGTGGGCTCTCTACTATGTAACATAACTTTAAGAGACAATGAAAATGGTATTATGATAACCAAATTTCAATAACCTTCATCGCTTATTCGATATAAACTGATAAAAAACAAACTCTTAATAAATAATATGAATATATTTCAGTTAATTATTTGGTATTAATGTGTTGATTATACTCCCATCACGGCTAGACGTAATTTATTATCACAAGTTTCACAGGTTTTATTTTTACACTCACGCCACAGGTATTCCGTCTTTGCGTATTGCAGAGTTATCTTCTCTTTGGAGCAGGTACTGATTGTTACGTCACTTGTTTGTGAGAATAACGTCATCAATTTTTGAGAAAACGACGTAATTCTCTCACACAGACCAATGACGTAACAATCAATACCTGCTACCATGAGAAGATAACTCTGCAATACGCAAAGACGGAATACGTGCGTAACAAGACATTGATGGATATAGTACACACATAATATGACACATGGTACAATTTATACAATAACAACCCGTTTCAATAATTCTTTTAGCTAACTTATTTTAGATATTAAGTAGCTTCATTACTCTTTGTATAAATTTACTTACTTTTGTTAAAAGTACCGTGTTACATATTGAGAACATTCCTTTCATTTTGATATAAGTTGGGTTGACATACTAATAATTTGGTATATACAGTTGTCTAAGAGCTACAACAGATACAATAGTTCATTGGAATAAGTAGTGGTATTCGTCCCCAACACAGTTATTACATAAGGGACATAACCTTTCCTCGCGTGGGACTCTATTCCATCTTCCTGTTTCTATATTTTTGATGTTCTAAATTTACTTATTACTTTTTGTATCAATATGATATAAAAACAAGTCATTAGGTTTGACTTAATCCTTTGTTATTGTACCTATTGGTGTGCAGACGATGTGGACGCTTAACAGTTCAATTATGGGAAACTTCTAAGTACAGTATCTTTCAAAGAAAATACGCAATTTTCCACCTCAAAAAAGTGACATTAGTCTGAAAATATATTTAGTCTATATGTATGTAAGAAAATTGAAATATGTATTTGACGTAATAAGTATTGAAATTCATATATTGGATTGTTAGGTGGAACGCGGAATTATTTTCTTTTGGATTGATGTATAAGAAGCGTAACATAATTCCTTTTATGTATCTATTTTATTTCTAATTGGTAAATGACAATCTACTCGTCTACCCTTCATAAGATTGATCAGAGACTTTATATGGAAAAAATATTAATCTAATTTATTTTCACGTTTAACAAATTGCTACTGTTAGATTATCAGACTATCTCTGAGTTAATCAATTAATTGAAAGGACTTCGAATCATATACAATTTATATACTATTTGAATTTCATAGTAATTTCAAATTTTCGTCTTATGTATTGCATTATGTTTCTTAGAAAATACGTTTCATTCCAACATATTTTATTGACATTAAATATTCAAAGGGATTTTGCACAAGTTCTTACAACTCACCAGAGACGTATATTACATATGATATATACGTCTCTGAACTTACTAGGCTCTCTCCCAACAATACAATATACAAAATGTTTAACATATATTATGTACTTAATAATTGATATAGAAAATATAAATAAAAAGGAAAGGAAAACAGTTGAGTTATGAATGTCTTGAATAGTTTAAGTTGAAAACATTGCTGTATTTTCCTGTAAAACTTTTTAATGTTTCGACTTCTTTAGTTTTGAATGATTTGCAATTTAATTACAATTCCTTATTAATGATTTTTGGATGTTTTGGGGTCTTTTGGGGTAAATACGACATATCAGTCTCGAAATTTTCTTTTTTCCTTCCTCTCTCCTTTGTCTTTACATTCTCCTTCTTCTTCTCTATATGAAAAAATGTGTAAAGAGTGAGAAAAATGCCATTTCATATAACAAATATCGATAAAACTTCTGTCATCGGGGATGGTGAAATAGCCAACGGTAAACTTGTTTGCAGGAAGAGTACGTAACTCATATACGTATAGTTAATAATACTCGCGTCACCATAATATCAATATGTTACCTACATGTCCCCAGAGACGTACTATGTATTATATTGTAATATATACGTCTCTGATGTCTCCAATGTCAGGTAACAGATGTATAAATATCTAGATACATTTCATGTTTGTGAGTGGTTGTGACACACATTTTAAGTTAAACAGATATGTACGTATAAAGCCAGAGATTGTATTATTGAACATCGTTTTTACTCCTCCTCTCGCAGATTTCATTTTCAGATTGTTGAAGTTGGTCAGTACCCTTTAAGAAATAGGACGGAGTAGAAGTAGAAGTATTCACGTCTCTGTTTTCACTGCAACATTTTTTTTTTTTATTGTTATAAAGAATCTTGTCCTACTTTTTTAAAATAAGGACTTGAGCTACATGTGTGAATATTATAAGCTATGTATTTTCTATTTTCATGCATTTTCATTTTAACGATATTTTTAATAGCTCCTGTAGGAGTTTCTAACGTTAAATTCTAGATTTAAAATATGTATAAACACTTGCGTCTGATTTTTTGACTTTGAATTAATATACTCGACCAGAGACGTATAAAGTATAAAGTGTTATATACGTCTCTGACTCGACCAAAATAAAGGCGGTTTGTTACAATAAATGTTCAAACAACAGTTATACGGTAATTGAATACCCCTTCGGTGCCCCATTTGTCTTGTACAGGAATGTGTCCGAGACAACCTCGTCCTCTTGAGTTTCAAAAGACGACCTTCACCTTAAGCGACCCTGGATATTATGCAAAAATCAAACAAAAAAATAAAAGAGTAAATTGAATATGATTTTAATGAAATAAAAAACACAAAAAATAATTAAAACTTGTTTTAAAACGGATAAATACCAACCGTTGCATTCTATTTTCGTCATCAGGAAATACCCCGGATGTGTCATGGCGTCTAATCGACTGATTTGGAAGGCTGTCTAGCTCAAGAAAATAGCTAGAATAGTCCCCTTTTCAGCGTTTTGTGCGTTCAAGCACCATATAAGTATTTGCATTAATGGTAATGCATGCAAGGAAACAGCCCAGACTCGATGATGGGTAAGGATCTTAGGTATTTACATGACATGTCAGTTACAAGACTGTCAGGCCGCCATCTTTGTTGTCAATTTGCAATAAATTTGCGGAAAAAAATATCTTGTTTTGCAATATATAAAGTGTTTTTGGCATTAATTACTCTTGCATTTGTGTTTTTCAGGTATATGGAAAAGAGAGACGCCCATCCGTTCCAGGTAATTGGCAAAGACCATGCAAAATTGGATTCGTATTTTTAGACCATTCAAAAATTGAGAATTTTGAAAAAATACACCCCTAAATGCAAGAATATCAAAATAAGAAACCAATAAAAGTAACAAAGAATGGAACTTTGTCCATTCTTAGAACTGTCAGGTTTCAAAAATGAGTAATTAGAGGTCAAGTTTTGAAAAATAGCTTCAGTGTGAAAAGATGGTCATATATGGGTTCCAATTTGCCTTGGTAAGTGGTAAAACTGAAACAAAATCTCAGGAAAGGTTATTCAGAACGATGAAATAACCGTTTTCATTGAAATGGTAACAGAACAGTGTTTTTCAGAGTGTCTGTTGATATTTTATTGTCATGACAATTGAAAGTCTAGAGAAGCAATTTATATGACAGCATGCATTATAATAGTCAATGCATGAATGGAGCAGTCTGATAAACATTGAGGGTTCCATTTCTATCAGGTCTGGATACAGAGGTTTGTATAAATTTCCCTGTGAAGCATCTCCTGAAGGTTCTTTAGCAGACAGTTTCCCACTGTCCCACATCATGGTAAGATAAGGTGAATAATGTGGGGCCCTTGCAGAACCAGAGTATATTGGGCCTTTGTCGAATAAGAGCTTGATGTGAGGGAGAGATGCATGCAATGTATATAAACCTATAGGGCCATTGCAATACTTGTGTTTTTCAGTTTATGTATTCGTTGTGTACATGTGCTACACATTGCTTAGATGGTGTTTCCTTTAGCCTCTCTGGTTATTTTTTTGACAGATTTTAATTGTACATAGGATTACGATTGCCTTCTAATTTCGAACTAGAGGGAATTTCCCTTTAGCTCGGTGACCAGTAGAGCATGCGACTAGGAACCTGAAGATCAAGGGTTTGATTCCTGGTGGAAGCACACTATTCTCTTTACTCTCGCCTCGCACATCTATGACCAAGTATTAAACAAAGCATAGCTGAATTGAGTCATTTTGGTACATATATTATCATAACTATTGTACATACGCTTACAATACAGCATAGCCGATTCAACATTGATTTTGTGGACAACTCGTACACATTTTACACCTTTGTGTGCATACTCTTCACTGGTCATTAGTCTGGTGAAGGTGACAGTGTACATATCATACTAGTCATCAAAATGTCACATAGAAATTTTATTGGTTGTGTAAAAAGAACTGTTCATAAGCCGGGGATGAAACTAGGGGCCAAGACGACGGCACAGTAGCTATAGTTCGTGGTTGGATGCCGGGCACATGACAGTAGGGTTGCAGGTCCGGTACACGGCACAGCATGTATCTTTGAGCAAGATTCTTTACTCTCCTTGTTCCAGTCTTTGAGCTGTAAATGAGTAAGTGGTTGGGCAGTGCTAGAATTGTTGAATGCTCGCTGTGAGTGCCGAAATGGCAGCACCGACTGTAAGCTCCCCAGAGAGTTGAGCAAGATATTGACTGGTTGCAAAGGCCCTATAACCACGGATAAGAATTTGTGAACCGCTATGAGACAACCTACGATTTAGGTTGTGATAAAGCAGTATATAATAACCTCAAAATATTATTATTAATTATCTTTCAGCAGATCATTAAGAATATGTTTTTTGATTCCCCTAAGTGAGCTTCGACTTTTGGGTTGAAGGACTTGTCTATTTGACATGCATTTTGACCCTTCAGGGAAAGGGTGATTTGACTGCTGAAAGTGCATACAAGTTAAAGAGTCATTTAAAGTCCCAAGGGACCTCAGGCTTTCTAGTCCAATGTTTTTCCCAATTGTACTAAAGAAATATTTGCCCTAGCCGAGTTGGTGAAAAGCAGCTAGTATTTTACCAAGGTCACATGATCTTTATGTATGTGTCCATTAGTAGATTTTTTTTACTGAAATTGAATTATGATGTTAAGTAATTAGATGTGTATCATTTCATTTTTGGAGTACTAGCCCACAGAAAGATTTTGAAAAATTCTAATGGCCAAGTCTACATTTTGGTAGTAATAAAATAAAATTTGGTAGCCATGACAGAACTCTTCTTGTTCTGTTTTGAATATAACATTTTCAACTTAATTGCCCTAGAACTGTAATCTTTGGAGTGTTATGGGGAGGACTGCAACTGTTAGAAATAAGTGTGCGCCAAATGCAATGGCCCTTTGCATTGTTTATGTCTTGTAAATACAGTTGTAAATTCTCAACATCCTTATGAACTGGTTTCTTATCACTAGTCTTCCTATACTATAGGGAAATTGTCATAGTTTTACAGTACACTCAGGAAATTGTCATAGTTTCACATTACACTGGTGTGTTGTTAATATAACGATATGCTCACACCTTTCTGCTAATCACTTCCCGTTTTTGAAGATGGTTGCCGTGGATGAAGAGTTGCATTGTTCAACAGAATGTCTGTCGATATGATGTGTACTTCATTACTTGTACATTGTATTCAAAGTGTATGTACGTATACATGCACTCAATGGTATAGAACATTTACTGATCATGAGTGTTTTCAGGGTCTAAATAACAGTCAGGAATGGCATTTCTGCCCAAGAAAGTAAACAAATATTGACTTAAATCTCCGGGATGATTTTCTGGTACATGTACATAGATATATTCTAACCAGATAGTAGTCACAACCGAGTACTCTTGTTACCTGTACACGTTACATTCCAGCCCTAGTTTTGGGAATTATGGCAGCAAGGGCTTTTCTGGGTTAGAAGTTAAACACAAGTGTGCTTGTCGATCTGGAACTAGTACATTTCAGCAAGGCTGGTGGATCACTTTGGACTTATACAAATTATGTTATGACACAGGGGTCAAAACTATAGCTATGAAATCTTGGTTTTATGCATATTCTTTGCTGTGATCTGCTGTCCAAATATTGTAATAATGTAAAGTGGAAATTTTCCTCTTAGCAATTAGTGCTGTTGTATTTGTTGTGTTGATGGCATTCCTTTGAGAATATTTGCAGATGTTTCCACTATCTCAAAAGCAAACAAGTATTTTATTTGACTGAACCTGTATATATTTCATCACAAATTGTCATGTTATATCAAAGATTATCTTTGGTACTTTTCAGTCATCCCAGTACCCATCAAAGAATTACGGACTTGACAATTATGCAGACCGATACAAGAGAGATGGGGGCAGTTCTGACAGATGTCGAGACAACAGCCCTGCAAGCCGTCTCAGTCCCAGATATCACAACAAAAGCTCTTATTCTGAGAAAATTAAAGAGAGATACGAGAAAGGTAATGCATTTTTGAGAAACTGATGATTGCTTATCACATAGTCAAAACATTGCGATCCATTTGTTATCAGTTGAATATGTTTGAGTGAATGAAGTACTCTTCTCTAGTTACTATTTGGTTACACTGAATAAAATGAAATCTTGTAGAGACCAGTCATGTGAGCATGAACATAGAATATCTTCTTTTTTTTAACTTTCATTTTCATTTGAAATGAATATTAACATGATGTAAATAGCTGGTAGAGGACAGATGTTGAATGAATACAGTTGTCAAATTTTAGTTCAATATATATATATAGATAGTTAGCCTGTAACTGATGTAAACAATCACTCATTAGATAAACTTGTTTTCAGGATCAAGTAGTTTTCCCGACAGAAAGGCAAACCATAGCTACAGCAATCAAAGAAGTAACAGCCAAAATGGTAACTACGACAAAGGTGTCAAAAACAGCCGTGATGTCAAGGAAAAAGAAGGAAAATCAGAGGTAGTCACTATTGTTTAGTTCTTTCTTGAAAAGCTTCTCTTCATCTACAGTTAAATACATCTAATATAATGAACTCCAGACATTTATTTTTTAGAAATTAATTTTCTACAGTAAAGCCTATTTGTGACCTAAGAATTACAGTAACTCAGCTGGGGGACCTACACAATAAATCTACAGTAACAATCATAAATAATGAACCCCAAGGGACCTAAGAAAATAGTTCTATGCAGAAAAATATATTTATGATGAACTTGATGGGACCTTTAAGGCATTAGTTCACAAAAGATATGATTCATGAAAGAGTTTGATGCCTGTGAGACATATTTTTTATAAGAAAAATATACACCAGAATTTATTCTGAAAAGGGGGTGTTTTACTGATATATATATTAGTGCAGAGTTTATCCCCTTCTCACCACTATCTATTATCCTTTGAATTTGTTATTCTGAAAAAACAAATCAAAGGTGTCCTTTTTTTCTCTCGTAGAGCTACAATTTATCATAGTGTAGTCTAGGACAATTGAGCTATAACTTATTGGTATGCATGCATGTTTATTAGATACTACAGAAAGATTAAACAAAAAAAAATCATGGTTTGGTTTGTATCTTATGTCTGGAAAGGGTTGCCAGTACAGCATAACTGAAAAGGAAAACATTGTGTCTGTTTCCAGTGATTTTTTACCCCAATTTATGTGCCGACTTTAGGTACTTTCCCAATTCTGACCCAGTATTTTCCCAATTGCTTGTAAAAATATTGAAGTATGCCTTCTTATAAACTGTTGTACAACTATACAACTGTACTTTTTTTGACAAATAGAAGTTTATCTTGGGGCATTGAATTCAAGCTTCAAGTTTTGTTTACACATGAGGTTGTTTGAGCGCGATCAAACAAAATTTCCCTAATATCATACATCCGTAACATGTTGTAAAATTCCCAATTCATTGTCTTCGCGCAGTAAAATTCTGAATAATAAAAGGCACCGTCCCTTTAGAAGAAAAAAAGAGTTAAAAATCACCGGTTTCTTACATTGGGATGTCATAGCCCAAGCTTGTCAGTATGCATCACATTAACATTTGTTATTTTCTTAACCTTGTCCTATACACTTACAGTCCCAGAAGACGCCTGGACGAACCTGCGGGGAATGGTCCGAACATGTCAGTTCATCTGGTATGCACTACTACTACAACTGTAAGAGTGAAGTGTCCCAGTGGGAGAAACCAAAAGATTGGACAGACGGGTTAGTATAAGCTCTTCAGTGTTCTCCTCACTACCCATGGCTAGCAGTATTCCTGATGTTCACAGTTAAAAAAATCTTGTGTAAGAAAATGAAAGACTTATTAGTAGGTCAAAGTAGGCCAATGTTATAATTAATTTACCCTTCAAAAATAAAACATCAAATAAGACAAATCTTGTGGCCAAAAAAATCTTGGTTTTCAATATCATTGGCTATATGGAGACAGTGCTGATGCATAGATTTATATAGGATACATCCAACTGACTAGTTACAGCAGTTGATGCTGGGGGGGGGGGCAGTTTAGTTTTCCAGCCATGAGGGATTGTCGCAATGCCAAGCTTGCAGGGTGAGCTTGTGTGGAGACTAACAATTATAAGAAATCCATAGATTTAAAGACTGAAATTTTCTCAACCCGAGAAAGGTGAAAATTCTGTGTATGCTAGGGACCTGCAGCACATACACATCTTAAACTTTTCACCAAGATCGACATCTTATACTTCTAAATTGGACATATGTTTCATCCAAGTTTATACTTGATGGTGTATATATGTATTATTATACTTGCACCAGCCATGAAAACAAAGGTTGTTTTCCCCCAGGGTTTTTTAAGGCCAACATTCTATCTAGTTTATAAATTTACTTATGTACCAGTGTTTGAATTTTATGAAATTCAACCATTTTGTCAATTTGCAGACCTGGATCAAAGCCCGATTCCAAGCCCAACAACTATGCTCGGAGTGGAGGCAACATCAGCAGTAGTAGTTGTGGAGGAGGAGGAGGAAACAGCAGTGGAGCCAAAGTCAACTACCCTAATAAATGTGAGTGGTGACTGACTGGGTCACTAACTTGTAAACTCCTGTAGTAAAAGTCAACAGAAAGACAGATATTTTTTTTTTATCTTGATTGAGTTCACATTACAGAGTTTTATCATAAGAAAGCAAATTAACTGGAATCAAAAGTTACTGAAAAAGTTCAAGATTGTCTGCTACTTGTATTTTTGTCTTTATCTTATGAATGCATGAAATGTTGTCATCTTTACTTGACATGTATATATGATGGGTGTTGCACTATTATGAATAAGGATGTTTATACTGAATGATAGCCAAACCATAAATCAGTATGTGCTGGTATATTCCAACCAAACATACTAACCATGTCTTACTGGTTAACGAAAGTCGGTATTCTAGGTAGGTGTCAAATTTAAAAAAAACAGTCTTGGCAGGTTTTTCCTGTAATTTGATATAAAAAAAGACTCAATTCTTATCTTTTGCTCAGCGTATTATTATGTTCAATGTCATTTACTCAATGCAAAACCAACATACCCGTCTCTTGCATACACTACACACAGAGGCACGTCCTTAAATTACCTTAACTGTTAATTGAACATTAAACAAAATTAAACCAAACCAAACCAAAGAATGTAATGAGTTTTACTGTACACATATAGATATACCTTGCTATGTAAGAAATCTTAAAAAGCATGGAGCAAAGAATCATAATAAAGGAAATATCATAATTTCCCAATTGACCAAGAAAAACACTTGTAGTATTGGCCAAGTACCATAATAGTCATTTCATCCATAACAGGTATTTGTTTACCATATTGTAACAGCTATTTGTATTTTCCAGCCGCAATGGACAAGTCCAAACATTCCAGTAATGCTGCGGACCGAACATTATTGTCCGAGAAAAACCTCAAAAGGAGCATGTCGGATATTAACCAAACCTATCCCCACAGCGGAAAACCGGACAAAAAGTACATTATTGAAAAGTTCCAGGCCAGTCAGCACCTGGCCGTGGAACAACAGCACCTACGAGGGGCTAGTCAGTCCTCATCTTTGTCATCCTCTCACTATCGGACTCCTCATTCTTTGGAGCATAAGTTTGACAATGTCACAAACTTTCACAGAAAGGATGGCTCAGGGACATATCCTGACCCCCAGGGCAGCCAGGCAAACAGACGTTACCGTCGCAACAGCGAAGGAAATAGGTCATATGGTGGTGGTGGTGGTCATGTGACACCCAGAAAACACAATCATGGTGAGTTTGTCCATATGTATTCTCCTGTAGAACCGGATACGATAATGTGTGTCTTGTGTTCGTCCCTCCAAGGATTTACTTATATCATTACTGGATGATTCCGTTATTTGTTGGTAAGTATTGATATTGATTTAGGTGCTGGGAAATTGCTTCTTAAAATCAGGAGAAAAATGATATCCAAGAAGTAAAGCTATTATGATTGTATAAAGTGTTCATATTAGGATTCGTATTTGTCAGATTTTAGGGAATATCTGTCTATTTTGGTGAAATTCTGAATGAAAACTCTTACACAAATTAAATAAGCTATGACAATTTCTATTTTCCCCGACTTGTCTCCTCATGATGAGGTCCATCCTTGAAATTCCTGGATTCATGCTCAGTTTCGTTCTCCACTCCCATTGAACATAAATTTGAAGGCTTGCAGTAAGCTGTTTGGCTGGTTTCAGATATGAAAACCTTACCAATCGCTAGGCAGCTGATACCTGTTCTTTAAATATTACCTAATAGTGATACCCCAACTTCAAAGCCTGTCAATTTTACCATTATTTTTTATCTGCATTAAAAGCATCAGAGTAGTGAACTTGTATTATCTGCAAGGTGTTGCGTACAGAGCCTTCGATTGTGTCGTGACATTCCAGGGATGCAGAGGATTTGTGTACAGAGAGTGGAATTCTGGGGTTTCGAGGATGGATACTCTCACCAAAGTAGAAAGTTATTGCTTCTTACTACAGTGATTTTTGTATGGGCCATGCCCATTCTAAGTATATAGTCATTTGTTAGATCATAAAATGTATCTTTTATCTTGGAAACACTTTGACATGAATTTGCATATATATACAAAAGTTGACCTGTACATATATCCTCTGCAGGTGTTGACGTGACACAATGGCATTTACAATTTTGGGGAAATTGCATAACTCCAGATTTGATGGACATTACACAAAACATGTCTCTCTTTCTGTGGTTAGGTTATATTATATTGTATGAAAGAACAGCTGTTTATATCAAGTGTAAGTTAGTTTAGACTGAAATCGAAACTGTTTAGTATTTCTTTTATAGGATCAGGTATATGTACATTGTATACATTGATGCATGGTGCAGTTTGACAATTAGGTTTCTTTATACAGTCTCCTTTGATTCACTCTATTTATTCCTTTCATCCACTTTATCTTACAACTTTTTAGCATGATTTTCTCAAGGTTGGGGGAAACCATTTCCATTAATATCAAAGTTTTACTTTCTACACGAACAATGTTCGTAATAAACATGTCTCAACTTTTAATGATGTGACGAAATTGTATATTGTTCATGTCACTCGACCCGTGACGTTTCGTCTATCAATAGGGAGCGTACACACACTGCATCAGATAGGTTACAGGTAGGGTGTAGATCTAGCCCCCTCCCCTGTTATGTCTTACCTGATGCAGTGTGTATACGCTCCCTATCGATAGACGAAACGTCTCGAGTGACAAGAACAATATACAATTTCGTCACATCGCTGTACAGGTAAAAATGCAAATCACTCACTTAGTCATAGCTTGACCTCAGTCATAGCTTGACAAAGGGACCAGTCGGTCTTGAAACATTGCGACACGTTTAATATGTACATTGTTTGTGTAGAAAGTAAAACTTTGATATCACATATTTCCAAACTGATGAAACTTATTGAAGACATTTCAATAAAGTGTACAAATCCACAGCCTATACACAAAGACCAACTGTTGGAGGTCCAAGATCAACCCAGCCCCTGGCTGTAGAGATAGAATTTAATTGTAACTTTCTTCACAAGAAAAGACAGGTCTTGAGGGTAGTGTCACCAGTGGGTTGAATATTGCAATTGTTGTGCATAAATTTTGTAGATCTATAAGTATAAAATTTGATAGTAACTTTCTTTACAAGTAAAGACAGGTCTTGAGGATACGGTCGCCAGTGGGCTGAATATTGCAATTGTTATGCATAGATTTTGCACCTGTCAATAGATAAAAATATTTAAATAATATACGTATATATATGTACTTGTTTGCTGTTCTGTACATTGTGTTTGGCAATAGTTTATATATCTATGTATGCCCTACCATTTTATAGGGGGTAGTGGAGGATATAGTGCAACAGGTGTAGATTTTACTGTCTATATATAGTATCAGCGTTCCTTGTCCGCGATGCTCTCAGCTTAATTGCTGCCTTCGGCTGTCTTTAGCCGAGGGGACTATTGGTTTTATATAATAGCTATATTTTCAATTATAGTATATCAAATCTATCGTCTTGTAATATGATGTATATGTACATGTAACTGTTCTGTTTCACTGTGTCTTGAAAAAGGAGCGGATCGCTCCGAAAATTTGACAACCTAAACTTGTCCACACTGTTGGAATTACTTCTTTGCCCCATATAGTATACCTGGTGAGCTTATGCCATGTACCGCAGCGTCCGTCGTCAGTCAACTTTTCCTTTAAAACGCTACTAGTCATGAACGACTGAGCAGATTTTGACCAAATTTGGTCTGAGGCATCCTTGGGTGAAGGGGAACTAATTTTGTATAGAACCGTGGGTGTCGCCCCCCCAGGGGCCCAATAGGGGAAATATAGCAAATTCTTTAAAATTCTTCTTCTGTAGGAATGAAAGGTTTCTTCAAAGTTTTTACAAAGGTCAAGTATAAGAATACCTAGCTCGGGTGTTCGTTTTTCAGAGTCCCAAAGTTCAGGTTACTGTCATGATTTACATGTCCAGCAATTGGCCATGGCCTGGGGGCATTCACATCTTAGACATTTTCTAGTTTATGCAATACATATTTATTAGCCCACCATCATCTGATGGTGAGCTATTCAAATCGCCCTGTGTCCATGGTCCTTGGTCTGTCTTTAAACCATTCTTGTTATTGCTATTTCTCCGGAAGTACCAGAGGGATGTTTCCCAAATTTTATATGTAGGTTCCCCTTGGCCCTAGTTGTGCAACTTTTAAAACTGATCGGATAAACAACATGGCCAACAGGCAGCTATCTTGGATTTTGATAGTGAAGGTTTGTTATCGCTATTTCTCTGGAAAGTGACAGAGGGATCTTCCTCAAATTTTAAATGTATGTTCCCCTTCGATTCTGATAGTGAAGGTTTGTTATCACTATTTCTCAGGAAGTACCTGAGGGATCTCTCCCAAATTTGTTATGTAGGCTTCCCTAGGTCTGTGTAGTGATCAGATCAACAAAATGGCCAACAGGCAGCCATCTTTGATTTTGACATTGAAGGTTTGTTATCGCTATTTCTCGGGAAGTACTGGAGGGTTCTTTCTCAAATTTGATATGCAGGTTTTCCTTGGTCCCTAGTTGTGCAGGTTAACATTTGAGACTGATCAGATTAACAAATGTCCGACAGGCAGCCATCTTGGATTTTGAAAGTGAATGTTTGTTATCACTGTTTCTCAATAAGTAGTGGAGAGATCTTTCTCAAATCTTATATGTAGGTTCCCCTAGGTCCTTAATGGTGCATATTCACTTTTGAGACTGATCAGATAAAGAAAATGGCAGAGAGGCATTCATCTTGGATTTTGACAGTGAAGGTTTGTTATGGCTATAGCTATATTACTCGGGAATTACTGGAGAGATCTTTCTTAAATTTTTTGTACATCTACCTCTAACCTTCATCTCCAGGTTATATACTAATTCATATACAGCACTAACTACGGAAATACAGGGTTTTCACTAGCACACTGCTGGAGAAAAAGTGTTGAAATTTACGACCGGCTAATTAATTTGGATGTACTTTTATGCACTAAATTAATTACATTTATTGAAGTATTTGTATGGAACTTTTTAAATTATGTTGTGAAGAGGTTTAATTTCTTTATGGTGCTGACAAATATTACTGTGATCATGATTTGATCTTCAACCCCGGGCCCGTGCTAGCTGTAACCTTGCTATTGGGGAAATATTGGTGTATCACACTTATTACATATATGCATTGTCTGTATAATAGTCAAATTAACAAAATCATCAAATATTGTTCAACATGAACAACAGCACAGACCAGATAGGGTTTGACCTTGGACCCAATGGTGTTACCTGGCATGGTCTGTACTAGTTATAGCTTTGTGGTGATTTGAGCTTTAACCCCTGAAAACAATTTTGATTGCATTATTAAATGGAGGTTATATCATGCAGAAATGATCTGCCAATCAGATTACTGGTGCTTTTGATTTGGGGAAACCAAATGTTAATGGCAGGACAGAATCCATGCATGTACTACGATCACATGTTGATTTCTGTTGTCATGATAAGATAACTTGGCCAATAAGTTGATAACTTCACATCATCCGTGTCTTGATGCTTCATTTTTTCAACATCAGAAGTTCCCAGCACTAGCCTGGAGTGACAGTGGGGGCACAATCTAATTAAAATTATATCTTCACATCGCTCCCGTTTACTGATATGTCGTGTTGAAGATCTAACAACATCCCATAGAGGGGTCACGTCAGAGGTCAACATGAGTACATTATCGCATTTATAACAAGCCAATCAAAACGCGACATAACTCTTTCATTCAACCTATCAGAAAGCAGGACCTGTAGCACCTCGTAGCCCAAAATCCACTTTTTCGTCTGGTCCAGTGACAGTTTGAATATTGCGAAGCCTGTCATTGGTTAATTTTAGTTTCAGGTTGTTAAACTTTTTAACGACAACATCACCAGAAGAGGAAGGCTCCCTTATTTCAAAGCAAAATCCACAAATTGTACAAAAGTTGTCTTGTAGATAGACACGGCGTGTTGTCATGGGCGCCGCCATTTTCGATGCTCATTTGACACCTCTCGGTCTTTTATCATAGCAAGTGTGTTCCGAAATCATTACATCATCACTTACAGAAATGCGTAAGCTCTCATCTGATTGGTTAATGCAAAGGTCGCCTGAACATGACCCTCTATGGGATGTTGTTAGATCTTCAACGCGACATATCAGTAAACGGGAGCGATGTGAAGATATAATTTTAATTAGATTGGTGGGGGCAGGGTAGTACAGTAAATATGATATTGTACACTTCTGCATGTCTTGTATTGGATAACTTACATATTGAGTCTGTCGAGTCAGGTCCACCTACATACCCCTGGCTGTTAATATACTGTAGGTTACCAGTGTTAGGCGTTATCAAATACTTGTACAAAGTAAGCCTTGTTAATTATCCAGCCATGATATGCATGAACTCTTTGTTTTGGGGGACAAATACGTCTTTTTTTGTTTGTGCAAAACTGTCCCATCAAGTAAATCAGTAGGTAAAAGTATTTTGGCTTTAATTATTATTTTATAAGTCGGCTTATCCCATGGCGCAGCGTCCCGCGTCCATCAACTTTTCCCTTTAAAACGCTACTAGTCCTTAACGGCTCAAAGGATTTTGACCAAATTTGGTCTGGAGCATCATTGCCCAAAGGGTTCTCAGTTTTGTATAAACGGAGGGTATGGTTCCCCTGGGGGCAGAGAGACGGGGCCAAATAGGGGGAAAATAGGTAAATCTTTAAAAAATCTTTTTCTTCTCAACCAATAGAAGGATTTTGACCAAATTTGTCCTAGAGCATCTTTGGACAAAGGAGACTCAAGTTTGTATAAACGGAGGGTGTGGCCCCTCTGGGGGCGTGGGGCAGGGCCCAATATGGGAAATAGAGGATTGTTTTTCTCCTACTATACAACTGAAGGGATTTAAACCAAATGCAGTCTTAAGCATGACTAGGGACAAAAGAATCCAGTTTGTATAAACTGAGGTGTGTAGGCCCCCTTCTAGGGGCAGATGGGTGGGGCTCATTAGGGGAAAAAGAGGAAAACATCAAAGATCCTTCTCCTTTTGTACCGATGAAGGGATTTTGACCAAATTTGGTCTGGAGCATCATTGGTCAAAGGGTTCTCAGTTTTGTATAAACAGAGGGTATGGTCCCCCCTGGGGGCAGAGGGGTGGGGCCAAATAGGGGGAAAATAGGTAAATCAATAGAAGGATTTTGACCAAATTTGTTCTAGAGCATCTTTGGACAACGGAGCCTCAAGTTTGTATAAACGGAGGGTGTGGCCCCTCTGGGGGCATAGGGGAAATAGGGGAATTTTTTTCTCCTACTATACAAATGAAGGGATTTAAACAAATGTGGTCTGAAGCATGCCTAGGGACAAAAGTGTGGACCCCCTTCTGTGGGGCCCATTAATTAAGGAAAATAGAAGAAAACATTACAGAATCTTGTTCTAGAGAATCTTTGGGCAAAGGGAATTGAATATTTATAACAGGCAGAGGAACAGGGCCCAATAGGGGAAATAGAGAAAACATATTTTCCCTTCTGTACAAATGAAGGGATTTAAACCAAATGTGGTCTGAAGCATGCTTAGGGGAAAAAAACTTAAAAATTTGTATAAAAAGGTGCATGTGAGACCCAATAGGGAAAATAGAGGAAAATAACATGGAAACTCATTTTCTTGGTGTCTTTCCCACCAAAACTATTTATATGTACTTGTAGTTCTTCGATTCTTGCAACTTTGTTTCTTGTACTCCTTTGATAAACCTGTATATGGTACTCAGGCAAATTGAAAAATAAAATACCAGGTGAGCTATTAAGGCCCCTGGGCCTCTTGTAATTAGCTTATAGGTAAAGCCTTGTAGCTGTTGTTGAGTTTTAATTTGATGGCCTGGGCATATTATGTTTTCACATAAAATATAAGCAGGTGCTCACGCTGTGTCTTTTCAATATCTTGAGTATTTATTAACAGGTTATTGTAAAACTTTAATAAGAATGTTGGTTATTGCAAAGGTTTGAACAAGTTCAATAACCACCATTATCTGACTAATTTTGGGAGGCCACAGTTATAATCCCCTGCTCAGGGTCCTGAAGAAGCTCGACAAAACCGGTTAAAGAAACACCCAGCTAAAACGCAGAAACATGCCCTCAGTCTGGTGTTATTGATTCTCCTGTTTTGTTAAATGATTAAATCCGTTAAAAATGTCCATTTTGATTTTTCAGTTTAATATTTGTAAATCAGAATCACTTGTTCATTAAGGGGTGTAAATAAAAAAAAAACATGTTCAAGATACTAGCCTGGGGTTTAATATAGTAATCCATTAGCCTGAAATAAAATTTTCTTAGCCCCAACATCTACAAAATGGATCAAGCTGCCAACATGATCACTTGATCTATCTATATCACATTCACAAAAGGATGTTTACCTTTAAAAGAAAATGAAACTTAATTTCATATAATTCTTAAACCCAACTGATCATGAATGTCTTTGAAATTATTTAAGATTTTGTAACCAAAACAAAACAAAAAAGTTTTTGGTTGTTCCTGAAATCAGTCCGCATATTTACCAGTTCCAGTATTTAGAAAGCATTGAAACAAACACTGGGGATAGCGTGATTATTGCCAAAAATTGATACTTCATTCGTGAAACATGGCTCAAAACTGGGAAATTCTGTTGTGAATGCTGAATGTTTATTGCTCAAGTCTTGATTATGAATCGATTATGAATCTCGAAGGTTGGCAGCGCTGTAAATGTACCCCTAGAAAAAGTGGTGTTTTGTATACTGTATTCTTGAAATTAGTGTATACAATAATTTTGTATATGGAAAAATTTGGTGCTCCTTGTTTTGCCTGAAAAGCAAAGGTGACATATATATATATATATATATACGGGTCACCCCCGGCCGGTTGGCAGCGGTAGCGCCTGTAATAATGGTTACCATGTGATTAGTCCTTGAAGGAATACAATACTTTGATAAAAAATTCTGCACATGTATAGCATCAATTATTCACTCCTGAAGTTAACTTTGAACCAAATCTAAAATTCAACATGCACGGCCACCAGTGGCCATCCTGGCCTGGACATTGTGGAAAATTTTATGATTTCAGTGTGATATTTCCTTTGAATGCTTTTAGCTTGATTTGTTTGAAATTTTGAATCAATTTCCATTTTCGCCCGAATCTGAAAATCAACATAGCTGCCAGCAGGGGTTGGCAACACATTTATTTTTGTTTGATGTAACAGAAGCTCTACTAAGTGTAACTTACTGCTGTTGACATCATCAAATTGATTCTCATATGCAGGGAAAAAATCAATTGTAATTATGTACCTCCGCCCACTTATAATTACAAACATCACAGAAACTTATTAAAACATGGTATTAACTATAAACAAATGCCTATTGCCAATTTTGCAAAGTCTTCCTTTTAATGATGTAATGCTTTTGTCCTTTTACAAGTAATTTTCTCATGAACATCAAATTCCACTCTTAAAATGTATTAACTATGTACAGGATATGCTGTTTACTTATATTCCCTGTTATGATAAATTAGCCTGCATTGCGAAGAGTGAAAATATAAAACTGCGACGTAAACTTCCTGTTGTTCAGCTATATATGCTGGTACATTAAAGCCATCTCCAACACCAGGTATTTTCTGAGCCTATTATATTTCAGGTATGAAAAGTTACAGCTGAATGTGAATTGCAACACAGTCGTTACGTCATCTTATATATCCAGGTGTCACGGTCACTTTCGCTAACTGCACCCCTGGAATATGTCATAGCAAAATTGAAGGCTCAGTGTGCGCCACCTTGTTGATGAGACAAGAAGACTATAGTTTGATCCTTCGATCATTGATGTACACCAAAAGAACCTCAGTCACGTAATGGTATATTTTTTTTTACCCGAGACCAATCAAACAGCTATCTTCGTGCCTTCAATTTTGCTATGACATATTCCAGGGGTGTAGAGAATGAAAGTGAGCGTAACCCCTGGATATCGAAATGTCGTTACGTATATGTAATTATAAGCTCACACAATATGTACACACTTTGGATTTTTAACTGAACACACTTTCTTTATTTTTGTGTTTTGCAGACTCGCAGATAGATGACATGGATATATCACCGGGTAGTTCGCCGTCGAGCTCGCGTCGATCAAGTTGTGCAGGCACACCCCAGTTGGGTCCTAGCTCCACACCCATGTCACTACCTCCGTCTACGGCGGCAGCTCTAGCCGGAATAGCCCCCACAGGTACAGAATCACATGATACCACCAGGCCTTGTATCACTCCCTCCAATCTCATTCACAGCCTATATATATATATAGCCTCCACGAGAAATAAAAACACATACTCTCCTTTTCATGAACAAATTTATCTAAGCCAGGCTGATATCTCTTCCAATTTTGTATACTCTGTAGTATTATGAATAAACTGGCTTTGTACTAGCAACCATGATTTTAGCAATTTCAATGGAACTGTGAAAGACAAATTGTGCAAGATGATTATTTTGCAACATCCTGAATAATAGTGACTTTGAAAGATTGGATCAGTAAAATTGTTAGTAAAGATTCAATTGAGAAATTACACATGAAACTTCGGTATTGAACATGTTACTTTTCCTTTCTTGGTGCCAATTATCAGTTTCCTGGATTTAGATTTAGATGTACACTGTACTTCTCTTTCTAACACCACTGACTGGACACAATGTAGTAGATATAAAATATCAAACATGTTTTGGAAATTATGTTGAAAAGTTGAGTTCCATCTCGTAAACAGAAAATTAGGTCCTTGATATTTTTTTGGAGGTGTTATATTAGATCTGTGTCCACCCTTCTCTGATATGTGATCTAGCACTTTGTACAAGTACTTGATTCTGTGTCCAACACTCCTCCTCCAGGCGCCACCTCCCCACTCCTCTCCACGATACCCTGTCTGATATCCAAGCTCAGCGGCAGTCACAGAAACCAAGATCTAACCCACAAAGGTATGAACACGATTACACATGGTCCAGTCCAAGTTGTTCACTTTATTCGAGATTTTCAATAGATTTAGTGGCGACCATGTGTATTTCGATGTTCAAATCTTTTTTATACTTTTCCAGTTTGACATGTTTTTCTGGTAGCAACCGTTACCCAAATATTGTACAGTATAGTATTACACATGTGTCAATGTGTTTGTGTGTGAATTAACCCTTTCACCCCAAGGTAACGTTAGTAGACTCTACCATGCATTTATGGGGATAAGTCCATTATGGTCTACGTACGGTTGTGAAAGGGTTAAAACATGCTAAAAATGGTCAATAACTGATATCCTATCATGGACATGGCTAAAAGTGAATAAAGTTCAATATACAAAAATAGAATATGAAGAATCATTCAATTAATTGGCACGAATTACGTATACATAAACAATGTTTTGAAAAAAACCTTTTTCTTCTGCAACATGTGTAGTGTCACATGGCTTATATTTAATACAAGTCAGTTCATTTCCACCTGTAAATATTTTGGGTAACTTGCAAATAAAATAGGGTGCCACTTACAACAATAATTCGGGATTAAACAGTCTTGTTTTTCATTGTATTACTGTACTCTCCACTGATATTTGGATCTTGGTTGCTAGCTTGAAGTCCTGTTTCCAATTGTCACTAACATGTTATAATTGGTGGTTACACTGCACGTTTTATCTAATTTTCCCCATTGGTATCATTTGTTTGGTACATGTCTGTTACAACATTGGCTACACGGGTTATCACAGATTTTCGTGCCTTAATGTTTATAATGCACAATGTATTAGTTTATTGTCAGTTGTTATGATATTCGAGCCTGGGTATTAATTATAATTACTTCGGCCAGAATTGGGATCTTTCATCCATTGATTTTTAAAACATTGAGTCGGCTAAGACTGAAAAACAAAATATAATGATTTAGTAATTATATAAATGTGATGAAGTGTGCAGAGTATTTTCAGTAGGAAACACATGAATGGTTTAGGTATCTGAAGTCTCTTAAAATATTCTATTAGATCAGATGAGGAAAATCTGAGGTAACCCATATAGAGAATACAATGATCATACCCTTTGTAATACTATCCTTCTTAACCCTTTCACCCCTATGTAACTTTAGTAAACTCTACCATATGCATTGGCCTAGATAAGTCCATTATGGCCTATAGATGGTGAAAGGGTTAAGTGGGAAAATGTAATTTAATGCATCATGTTAACATAGTATTTTATCTTTATCTATAATGGGTTTTCGTGCAGTTATAGGAGATTGTGATGGAACATGTGAAAAGGTTTTCATTTATTAAGACACCCATGCACACTGAGCTAAAGAGAGAACCTCAGGACAAGTTTCACTAACCTCCTGTGGAAACAAGTTCAACATCCATCCTATCATGACCATGTCAATAAGAAGTTATAAAAATGTTTGCAGCAAAGCTTGTTTTCTGTAACCATCTTCGAGTCATCTCAACTTCATTTCTATTCCAGTTGAAGTCACATTCCCGTGATTTATTTGCGTTGTCTTAATTCCGACGTGTTCAATATATTACACTTCTCTTTAGATTGATGGGGGGGGAATTAAAACATGAGCCTATTAATGTACTAGTACCGGTATATATTTGAAAATTTCATTTTTGTGGCTAAAGTGTTCACAGTAATATACACTTAAATATTGTTTTATTTGATAAATATGAAATTGATAAAACATGTCAAACAGAGTTACGCACTATGCTGAAGCCCTTAAAACTTCTTCTCAACAACTGCTTAAAGATATTCATACTTGGTCTTGGGCAGGTAACAATCTTTGGATTGTGAACCAGCATGTTTAAAGGTGTATTCCAAGGGAGATAACTAATACTGTGGCATTCTTTTTCAGCCTTGCAAACCTTACAGAGATTACAAGAGGTGATTAGTCGCCAGATAGCACAGCAAACAAGTCCTGGTAAGTACATATAAACACAACATTTTCTGACAGTTTGCCAATACTGTATTTGTTGTTGCCATGTAACTAAAAAAAATAAAAAATAAAAATAAAAAAAAACCCCATCACTTGTTTCTAGGGTACAGTTAACCAAATGGTGACAATGTTATATAATTAACATCTCACTATGTACATTATCAATATTGAAGTATACAACATATCAAAAACAGTTATAAAGGATTTTTTTAATCAAAAATATTGGTTTTAAATGAATCATTAAAACCAGTCATTAAGTTACATCTGTAAAAGTAAATGAGATGTTTTCCCTAGTACCCATTTACCCAGATTTAATGTCCCGGGTAATATTTATCAATACTGACCTTGTTTGGCTTGTTATAGTAGAATTAGGTTCGATTCATACCACTGTAAAACCTTCGAAAAACCTGTACCAGTACATTTGTGAATATATTTTCAGGAAACCCACCCCAGCAATCTCCCAGGCCTACAAGTGATGTGCCAACTTCCCAAACCGCACACCAACAACAGGCCCACCACAAACCCCACCAACACCCTCATCATCATCAGCCCCACCCCAGCCCCACCCTACACAACTCCAACATGCTTCTCAGCCCACAAGGTCTCCACTCCCATCACCCCAATCCCCATCCCCATCCTCACTCCCATCCTCAGCCTGACAACAACTCCCAACATCACCATCATCTCCACCCTGCTGGCCATAGAGAACCTCCACACACCCCAGGGGGACACAGCTCGTCATCAGTATACGGCAAGCTCAACCAAATCTCTCGCCATGACGAAGACCACCACATGACTGGGCCAGGTGGTGGTGAGAGTCCCCTGTCGGAGACCAGTCAAGGACCCTCCTGGTAAGATCTGGCTACAAGTTAGTAGGATTGTAAGCCAGTACAAGTAGGAAAACCATTAATAGTATTTAGTTAACATGAAGCCAGCACCAGGTGCAGATAAGATGTTGCCTAGCTAGTACCAAATTTAAGGAATCTTGAGCCAATACTAAGAAAAAGAGATGTAAACCAGAGTAGTACAAGTATAGTAGGACTCGAAGCAGGAAATGTAAATTAGAATAATAGTTTCCTTTTCAAAATTTAATTCTGCAGTTCAAATTAGTTATATTCACTGGGAATATGATTAGACATAACTCTTTGACTGAAACAGAACTTAAAAAAAATATTTTTTTTTTAATATAATTTATAATTTGGTTTTATCAAAAGGTGAACTAAACAACACTCCAAATAACTTGGACAGATATGTTTATCCAGACCTACATAATAGTCGAATACTCCTTGTAATTCAAATAGTCGAATACTCCTTGTAAATCAAATAGTCGAATACTCCTTGTAATTCAAATAGTCAAATACTCCTTGTAATTCAAATAGTTGAAGACTTCTTGTAAATCAAATAGTCGAATACTCCTTGTAATTCAAATAGTTGAATACTTCTTGTAAATCAAATAGTTGAATACATCTTGTAATTCAAATAGTCGAATACTCCTTGTAAATCAAATAGTTGAATACTCCTTGTAAATCAAATAGTCGAATACTCCTTGTAATTCAAATAGTCAAATACTTCTTGTACATCAAATAGTTGAAGACTTCTTGTAATTCAAACATATATGTAAGTTCCAATTTACGTACATAGCTTCAACATTCCCATAGTCAAATACTTCTTGTAAATCAAATAGTTGAAGACTTCTTGTAATTCAAACAGATATGTAAGTTCCAATTTACGTACATAGCTTCAACATTCCCAGAACCTGACAAATTTGAAATCATTTTTGTTTTGAGATGACCGGTGATTGTACTTTTAATTTCTGTTAACAGTTTAAGTCCAGGATCCAGTACGACAAGTTCTCAGACAGCTGCTGTGGCTCATGCAGAACTCTCAGCTGCTGGCATCACAAAGGAGACGTCTATGGGCATCAATCCAGCTCTTAAAAATTACTATAATGAAAAATTAATAGGCCATGTGCTAGGCTGGCAGGCTGAGCATGCCGAGAGACAGGTAGGATTAATATGTTTAAGGAAAGTGTGTTTATGTTCTACTACAACTTGGGTCACTGCAGTGTGATAATCTATGAATATATTGATTAAAATTTGAATTCTTTTTATCATTCTTGAGAACAGTGGGATTTATCTTGCCTCTCTTGAAGGTTTACGCTAAGGTTAATGGCTATCAAATATGTTTAAATGAACATGTTTTGGCATCTTTTTTAGGAACAGATAGTACACAAATTAATAGAGCATAAACTTTGTTTATAAGATGAGGGTGGGGGGAGGGATGGATAGAGTTAAAGGGGGAAATATGAGCAGAATATCTGATGAGTATTAAACTTTGATTTGTCCTTTGTTTTGACAGGCCAAAAAGTACAGACAAGAAAATCTTACTATAGATTGTATGCGATGCAGTCAAGTGAGTGTGGAACTAAAGCGTGCAAGGTCCCTCGTACGGATTGCCGAAATTCAGTCAACATTACATGAACAAAGGTACACAAATACATAAGGGTTTTGTTGATCCAAACAGCACTGTTGAAGTATATTAAATACTGATATTCAGGGTTTACACTTCAGAATCACTTTTAGTTCCCTAATATAATGGTGAACTATTTCTCAAATTTGTATCTTGTGTTTAACTCGCCCTGCTATTAACTATATAAATGACATAATAATAAATTAAATCTTTCCAATTGTACAGAAGTATACTAATCTTGTACATTTTCGTTCTCTTTTACAGAATATTATTTTTAGCTCAACAAATTCATGAACTAGAGAATATGAAGCCTCCGTCATTTTCATCATCACATTCATTTACGTCATCTTCGCATTCTTAGGACAGTGTCTGTCATTGCATTTGAATTGTTGCTGACAGAACTAGAGATCTAACTGGAGGCCAACATATCCCCGCAAGACCTTCTACACCAGCTGTAGGTGGACAAGGTTACGTGGAACAGTGCCATACAAAATGGAAGAAAACCATCCCCAAAGAAATCTGGAAACTCTACGGCAAAGAATGTGATTAATTTAAGTATTTCAATCCATGATGTATTGTTGTTAGTAGTCTGTTTGTGAAAATTTGACTGCAGATTAGCTGAATGCAGAGGCGATCAATTTTATGTAAGTTGTGTGCGAGAGGATTTTTACCATTTCTGGGAGCTCTAGCTTCATATGATATCTGTGAAAAAACATTGATCTATTGTCACTGCAATACATAGCCTACAACCAATTGTCAGACATGTAAAAATTTGACAAAGTTTTTAGGTCACCTGAGCTTTGCTCAAGTGACATTTTGCAATCCCTCTTTGTCATCGTGCAATGTCCGCCATTCTTCACATGTTAACATTTACATTTTAGATTTAGACTGAAATATTACTGAAGACATTTCGTTGATACTGAATGGGAATGTTACTGAGTCTTGTTCTTTTTTGGTGGTTGATCAAAAAATTACCTTAAACTCGCATCCTATTTGGCTGATTCAACTGAAATTTAATAGGTATGTTTGACTGACGATCCGGAAAAAAAGTCTTATCTTTAGGATAAATCGGAAATCTATTATGGCAGCCCATTATGGCAGCCCTGAGCCGAGACATTTACAAATTTCTTCTCAAGACCTGCTCCATACAAAGGTTCCTTTATGATGTTCCAACACAATTTTCTTAGCTTCTGTGCCTATCTGCTGTCCAAAATGCCCACAACTAAGATACAATACATAAGCCAACCAGACATCTACTGGTCTTTTCCACAGGCTACTCCACACTATAGACACTTGCTATTTGATATAAATTAACACACACAGTTTTGTGGTACTCTGGTAGTCTGTGTACTCTGGTAGTCTGTGTAATATCAACCTTTCTGCCAAACAGATTTAAGTCCTTGCTCCAAACTCAAATGACTGCGGCATTAAGAGATTCCTAGGTGACTGTTAAGGCCCCAGAACCTCTTGTTCCTTTTAGAATTGAAAACACTATAGCACGCATAACTGACTCAACAATTGGTTTCTTATGAAAAAAGAAATATGGGAATCTGAAGGGACAATAGTTGGATTAGTTCCATGGCTGGGCCATGCCTTCTGGTACAGATATATGATATTAGAGATGGATTTGTTTAAATATAACAGCTTTTCTTAACACGCTTGTACCAAATTAACAAACAAACAAAAATCATAATCTTGATATATCTCGTAAAAGTAAAGTGTTTATTGGAGTGGTACAACTTTCATTCATACATCATCATCAAATAAAAATAAATTCAGCCGGAACAAAAAGGCATTTAACATGTTTTATGGTTATGGTCAAGTATCGCTGTTGTGTTTGTACTAGAGTATGATCTGTTTACTACTGCATTTAAACATCAGTCATTTTTAGATGATCGCATATTGATTTAAGCTTATATTAATAAAAAATGATTTTGGGTATTTGGAAAAAGCTATCAAATTAATTTATATTCTCTTTATACCTATATGTATATATACAAAGAGATGTCATTGACATGTACCAGAAGTGCTACCTTGATTTTATCTTAATTGCATTTTTTCCATCTTGTATTTGTGATTATTGTCTGTGTTTTTTTAAGTACTGCAGAAATATGCAATGTTTGCATTTGTCATGCTATAAAATGAAATATTGAAGCTTATTTTTTCTATCAGAGGGCAGGGAAACAAGCATTTGTCTTGTTAAAAACTTCCTTGAGAGGTTATTTAAGATTAGATCAAATCAAGCTGGGATAAAATACTTCGATGTGGGTGAAAACAAAGACTTCATATTGTTCAGCAGTGAAAAATAGGGATCAAACTTGAAAGTGTGATATCGACAAAATAGATGTCCATCGTTCAATGAAATCCTGGTAAAATCATAGTTTGAATCTTTATTATTTTTGGCAATTGTTTAGTTGGGGCCAACACTTTCTGTTTATTAAATTCCTATATATATATATATATATTGATCCCACCATGAATTCAAATTTTAAACTTAGTCTCCCCTCTCATTTTACCTTTGGGCCTAACGAGTTGGTCTTCTCACTGGAGATATCACTTTGTCAGTCCTTCCTGTGACAATGACACAAGTGTTCACATCCTCTCTCACATCTTCTGATCAATGATGGTTAACTAACAGTTCATATACAACCAGACAGTAAGTGTTAATATCCTGCTGGATCATTGGATACTTAGACCCATTTCGCATGTCCAGTTCAAAAGGGTTTATCCGTTTATAAATGTAACATTTTCGGGTATAAATCATGGTGGACCTGCAAATGGTTATTAAGGCCTGGTAATTTATAAGTCTTTGCCAAGGCTCGCCTGAAAGCAGCGTTAGAATGACCAGGTCCTACCATACTTTATAAACTAATGACTCTGGTCCAACCGGTCCAACCATTTGGATCACGATTAACGAAAGCATCCCAACAACCTAGTATCAGGGGTAATAGTTTGTCATTCAGGAGCTGATGGCTTCCACCGCAATACTAATCAGCTTCTGTCCCACGCAGTCTATATTATATTCAATATGTGGCCAAAGACAAATGGTTGCCTGAGTTTAGTATCTTGTATCAGTTTCTGATAATGTCGCAGGGACATTCATAATGTGACCAGAGTAATATATTATGGGTATCGGGTGTCCATTTGAACATAACGAAAAGCAATGTCTGGAAGAAGAAAGACTGAATTTATTTCATTTTGAAGTGTTTACAAACCGGTACAATATTTATAGACTTATTTTCAATGTCCCTTTAACGGTTTACTAAAGTACATCAGGATCTGCTGATTGGTATGCTTGTGTTCAGTTATAATGAATGGCTATCAATACATATTTTTAAAAAAAGCTCTGAGGTTGATTATTTGACAGTAAGCTGCATTCAAAATGTAAGTTACGTTCAAATTAAAAAAAAAAGTAGCTGTGTTTTAATTTGTTTACATTTTGATTGCTGATCTTAAAAACACTTTTTTCACTTTTTCTGACCTTTGCCGAGTTTTATTGTCGAAATGTATAATTTGTATCAACCATATGCTGTATTATTTGACTGAATTGTTTAAGATATTTTGAAATTCTGCGTTTTGTTCAGGTTTTGGTTAAATATTGTGTATGAATTACATTTTTGTTGGGACACCATGAGAGAACAAAATGTATTTTGATTTACATACATTTGAACATGATTGAAGCTTAAACAATGGAATTACAGTATGATGTTAATTTCCTTGATGCTAGAGCTCGAGGGACTTTTGAGCGATTGATGTGGGTCAAACTTTTACCTTTTGAACATGCAGTGCAGTTCACACTCTGTGTCACATTCTTTTGATGGAAATAGTGCTATACACAATGTACTGTGTATGTCATGTCTCTCGAACTGGTTTTTCTGTTACACCTGTCAGAAGTAAAACAATTATTAACAATATTCACGCTTATGACAGAAGGCATATGGTTGTGGGAATATAATCGAGATGTACCAGAATGGAATTAAAAGACTACGTTATCCTTGGTAACCTTGTTATGTAGGTAATGTAATTTTTCAGTGTATCCGTGGAACATGAAGGAATAATATCTTAATTGAACTTAAAGTTCAGTTCAGCAATCTTGTTAATTTGGGACAGTGGTTTTTGTAAAAACATTTTTATAGCAATAATTTTCCAAGTTCCCACAGCTAGGTTTTGGATGGATTTGGTGATTCTACAGACCCTGAAGTATCAAGGTTCGGACATAGTGCCAGTTTATCACGGTGTCACGTGATTTGGTAGAGGGAATACGTGAGTGAGTTGGTGTTGAGCTAAGGACCATTGGCATGCAGCTTTTGAGTAAATAGAGGGGTCAGGAAAGGGAGGCAGATCTTTTTGTCGGCATACATGTGACTGGGTGTGATTGTGGGTTATGGTGAACCTACTTTCCTGACAAATGCTGACGGTTTGAATGACGTGTTGTGTGGTAGTATTGGGTAGACATACCACTATCTGATATGTTTGAATGCTACATGTTCTCTGTGTGTACTGTCGGTTGGTCGGCAGGCTGCCCAGTTGTTTGAATGCTGTATGTATTTTGTGTGTACTGTTTGTGGGCTGGCAGGCTACCCGATTGTATGAATGCTACATGTTGTGAACGTCTCATTGGGTGCTGGCCGAGCAGCCTAACGGGTGTCTAGTATTTCTTTGTACATAAAATAGGTGTGACCTTGTACAGAACACTTTCATCAGAATTGGATTCCAGTTGCTTTTGATGTGGAGTATTACTTTTATTAGCCTCTCTTTCTTTTTATCCATCACAAAACGTAATTTCCTTTGCCGTCTTCAATTTGAGGTTCAGATTTTGTCATTATTAGTTAATTGTCCTAATATATTAACATTTATATGTCATCCTATTTGTTTATTTTAGTATTTCATCCTTTTTACTTTAATTGTTAGTTAAAAGTACTGGTCAACCCTTTTTTCACTTACAAGAAAAAAAATGGGTTTTTCATTTCGTCCCACATTGTTAAAAAAGTAAGGGAGACAATGACTGTTAACATCGAGGAGTTCTCTCCCCTATTCCTTTCTTAATCTTTACCAACTTATAGGTACATTTCTATGAATTTCTGTGTAGTTTAACAGGTATTATTTCTCGACCTTATTTATATCCATTTATGGGCTAAATGAGTAAAACTCGGCTCACCACAAATCTATATTTATTTTTTCACGTAATGGACTGGACAGAAATAGGTGATGATATTCATGGCACACTTCCCAAAGGGGCATTCTCCCGAAGATGCATTGATATCTCGTTGTGGCCAGGTAATCTGCCTCCTGTTTTGTCTCCTGTTTACTCGCCCCCATATCCAGTTTCTTCCGACTTCTGTGTAACCACATTGAAACATGGGAATCGGTCAGTTTATCACAGTTCATGAGTATGTCTGCTACTGTACTACGTATTTAACTGCATGAGCTTATGATGCACCACTAAACAAGGGAATAAACATGGTGTAGATAGCGTCATTGTTCTCTACATGTTTATAGTATCTGTTGAAAGAAATAAAAAAAATAAAAATACTTGAAATAATTTGTCGGTTGTGTTCTTTTGAAGAAAACCACTATAAAACAGAATTGTTCCTTATTACTTTCAAAATTACGTTTCAAACCTTTTTTGACCATTTTGAATGGATCAAATCTATTTTGTCATATACTCAAGTTTTGTTACATCGTAAAAAACAACTTAACTTTTCAATATCTAACGTCACAAGAAAAAGGATGTATAGGGATCGATCGAGATCTCTGAACCTATACAATTTGGTATTAAAAACTGCCCGCCAAAAATGAAAGAAAATATCAAGATCGGCAGGAGACGACATTGCATTCATGTTGACGCATCTGTTAACAGGATCCTCGTACCTATGGCAACGACCATAACTATAAATTGGAGAACATTTTTAGGGCATCATGACTTTGATACATTATTTCTGAAATGAAAACAAGTACGTAAATACTAGGTAAAATTTAATAAATAAAGATGAAAAACATTGTTCTGGGTGTCAAAATACAACAGGTCTTGGTTCCTAGCGTCCAAATGCAACGGGTCTACTGAATCTTCCCACTGTAACGGGATGAGCGCTTGTCTATCTATGTAGATAATAAAACACTGACGACTGTCGTACAGTACCCACATAATTATTTACAATGACATACAATGACTAAGAAATACATATAGCACCTGATTCTCACACCTTTGACAGAACACAACAAATTACATAGCAGAACTAAATTACATATGGGTTGTGATCCACTATTGCTGTAATTTATATATATATATCTAACGTCAGTATCTATAGTCTACCACTGTACAAGTGGGCAGTATTCCACAATGATGTACACTGTTAATTCCTTATCTGGTACCAGCACCGTCACACTATACTAGTGGGCTGAGTTCCACTTTCAGTGTACAACAATACCAGTCACATGCCTTCACACTCAATAGCCGTGGACAACATCCAGCATCAGTGAAGGTGGTATACATACTGGTCCTTCATCCCTCGTCGGACAGCCTGGACCACTGGTTTACCTCATCAGACCTCGGCTAATAGCACCGCTATCATTCGCTACCACAGTCTTAGGCTAACCCAGACACACCATGACCTCATCGGCACCATCGGACTCAGCAATATCGGGAATAAACTACAATATAATTAATACGATCTAATCAATAACTATTCCCTTTCATTTCATAACTTCAGTTTAATTATATTCAACCAAATAACACTGAAACTAATATATCAGTGAAAAATATGGCGAAGTCGCCTTGTGAGCAATACTATGAGCCACAATGGATGGTAAACACACACGTCACGTGACCCTATAAAACATACTGTACCCGTTTATTAACTATTCAGAAGTTATAAATCATATCTGTCTCTACGATACAGTGTATTGTTCTAGTAAAACATGATATGCAATATTTCTACATGACAATATAGTCGCATCCAAACAATAACAATCGCGCACCTGTAAACACCTGCACGATACCGACTCGACACATAGATCAGCTTACGACCTACTCCCATAACATGAGAGGCCGCTGGTCGGCATGTTTTTCAATCGGATATGATTTTGCCGACTGCGACGCCTGTCAAAAGTTTTTCGCCGTGTAAAACCTCTAACATTGTTGGAGTACTTACGACCTTGTTTATGGCTGTTTATCTCACAGCAAATTATATAAAACAGCACATGAACTACAAAATACAAGTACAGTGTCCTGACGGGTATGGCACTCATCGAAAGCTGTGGTTTTCGTTAGTGTGTATCCCGTATATGCGTTCTTAGCAGGTAACGGTGACAATGGACCTGTTATTGTCACGTATTCATAGTCCTCCACCTCAGCCTGCACGAAATACAAAAATATAGTTTATATACAACTGATATGTGACACCCACAAACATAATAAGCCGCCGGTATTGTTGTTTTACAAGGTAAGTGTTGATCATTTACCCTCGGCTGTCATTACATACGCATATTATTTACCCCATGTAGATCAGTGATCGGAAATGACTAAGATATATTTTTCGGACGAATCGGTGTTTTAGAAAAGGATGTTTTTCACGTTCTGGGTGGCGGATGTTTTCCCTGTGGAACTGATAAATGTGATGTTGCTCATTTTCTCTCTCCGTCCTTTTGATATTCCGTCAGATGTGTACCAAATTTCCTCCCAGTTTCTCTTTTATATATATATACCACTCATATTTTGCTATGGATCACTTTTATTTTTGGGCAAATGTGAAAAGAAATATTGTATTTGATTAATAGGCCCTACAGAGATTAATTTTGTTCTTTTAATTCATCAGAATGCAAAAAATCAAATAATCGTAATTACAGTCGGAAAATAAGCCACAGGAAAAGGGTTACCCTTAAAATTGGTAACAACGAGGTATTCACTAAAAAGCTTAAATTTAACAAAACTCATCCTAAATAAACAGAAAGTGTTTAAGCAATCACAGCTTCACAACGTCTGCGCATGCCCCGAATGAGATCGCGTATCCGGTTTGGTGGGATAGCGTTCCACTCTGCCAGAGAGAGCTGTCTGCAGCATGTCGCACACACGCTCGATGGGATTTAGATCCGGCGAGCGGGCTGGCCAATCCATTCGTTGAATAGTCTCTTGCTGTAGATACTGCTCAGTCACCCTTGCTCTATGTGGCCTAGCATTCTCGTCCATAAGGATGAAGTCGGGGCCGATAGCACCAGCGAAGGGTCTGACATAGGCATCAAGGATTTCATGTAATAAATCCGGGCCGTAATGGTACCATTATGGAAGACATTGAGGTCAGTTTTCCCACGAAGGCTTATGCCTCTCCACACCATCACTGTCCCTCCGCCATATCGGTCATGTTCCACAACGTTTCCTACCTGGAACCTCTTTCTAGGTTGTCTCCATACTCTAACGCGCCTGTCGGTAAAGTCGAGTCAGAATCTGGACTCGTCAGTAAAGGGAACCGGTTCATGGTCCTGAAGAGTCAAAGGGCTGTGAACTTGGGCCCAATCTAATCGGTCCCTAACATGGCGGGCATTTAAGGAAACTCGTATTGCTGGACTACGTGACCTTATACCATCATGAAGACGGTTCCTAACTGTCTGAGAGGTTACCCGGGTACCAGAAGCATTTTGGAGGTAATTTCGTAAAGCTGTGGCAGTCTGGACCTTGGCGCTGCGTTGTAGCCCTAGAACGACCTCCAGCACGACGTCTGAAAGGGTTTCCGTTAGCTTGGAAACGATTCCACATTCTTGCCACCACACTTTGAGACACACCAAGGTCTGCTGCAACATGGCGTTGAGACATGCTAGCTTGCAGCATTCCGATGCCCCTAACATTTCACCGTCATTTAACCGTTGTCTGGTTCGTTTTTGTGCCATATTAAAAAAACACGTTAAATATATTTATCAAATTGATTTCCTCAACAATTTGAACAACGCCTTACTTAGCCAAGCTTAGCTTTTGAAAGGGGTGTACACGTGGAAAAGCGTGCACGCGCTTTTATGGTTGACTGAACACACCATCACAGGACGGTTTGGAAGGCTAACATATTCGCTCAAAACATTTTGATTTTTCTTTTTCCAAAATATAGGTGATCCTGAGCAAAATGTGAGTAGTATATATAACTACTGGCAATTTTTGCAAGGATTTTTTTCTATCTTCTTTTTTACAGCTCTTTCACTTTGTTAATTGGCCAGTCGGGGTAGCCACACCGGAAGTTGAGTGCGTCTTTTATGTGCTGTTCCTCTATCGTCCTGCTCTGTGGTTATGTTGTTGCATATGTCGAGAAGTGTACATACGACTCCAATCATTCGGTGTAGTGGATGGTGGGAATTGAAAATCAAATATTGATCAGTTCGTATCGGTTTGCGGTACACTAATAGTTTGACGGTGCCGTTTTCTGTGCGGACGATGAGCGTGTCCAAGAATAGTATGGTTCCGTCCTTTTCCTCATCGTGTGGAAATTTAATGATAGAGTTTATTTTGTCCACTTGGTTCATGTGATCTGTACGTTAGGCACTGCACTGCCCCCTTTTAGACTATTTCTAGGATCGTTCCAAAAGTTTGTTGCCGCATTCCATGGGTGCCGATCTAATGGCGATCTGCTCTAGGTGTTCCATGAACAGATTCGCGACTATGGATGAAACAGGACTTCCCATAGCGGTACCGTGATTCTGGGTATACCTATCTTCTGAACACAAAGTATGTCGTGTTCATAACAAATGTTAGTAGGTCGAGGATGCTGTCTTCTGATAAGTTTGTTCTCTTCCTGGGTTTCTTGCCTGCTGTAAATCTCTATCTGATGATATTGATGGCCTATTATACTGGTGTTTTGTTCTTCAATAATGACATTTTCCACATCCTCGATATTCAGGGCTCACGCTCACTTTCGCTCTCTACACCCCTGGAATATGTCATAGCAAAATTGCACAAAGCACGATTTTTACCGTTACGCGACCGCGTGATTCTTTCGATGTACATCAAAGGACCAAATAAGTCTTCTTGTCTCGTCCATAAGGTGCTGCACATTGAGCCTTCGATTTGGATATGACATATTCAAGGGGTGTTGAGAGCGAAAGTGAGCGTAATCCCTGATTATGGAGGATGCATTTTCCAAGGCAGATGCTAAATGTTTGGAATTCTTGACATGCATATCGTGTTGGAAGTCCACTATAGGACGCAACGGGTAGCCCGGTTTATGGATTTTGGGCGTGCAATACCATCTAGGGATGTTTTCTGATGTCGGGTATATGAACTTGTATTGCTAATATGTGAGGTGTGAATCATCTCTTATTTGGCCAAACGTTCTATCATCTACACACTGTATTTTCAGGGTAACCTCTCGATTGTAGTCATGTGCTTGCAGTGAGAAAATTGTTCTCACGACAAACCCTGAAAACTTTGTGTACACTGTTTATCATCTATATACTACAACGTTATTTATATCTCCATTCATAAATGTAAACTAAATACCATCACTTCTATAAATGACTTCTAGGCTCAATGATTATCGAGATACCGCGGTCTGTGAAAACCCATTCTCAAGTTGTTCGCAAATTCTTCTAGTGTATTCTCATACTGACAACTAATGATAACGAATTGATCATGCTACAAATAGGTGGTATAATGTATATTGATGCTAACCTCATTAACCACATTAAGATAATGTCATACATGATAAATAACGAACAGGCTGTCTTTCGCTGTCATATCATGTCATTAAGATAACGTCATACATAGTTAAATGTACGTCCATGCTGTATATCACTGTAATATAACGACAAACATAGTTAAATGTACGTACAGGTTGTATATCACTGTAATATAGCGTTATTAACCACATGAAGATAATGTCATACATAATTAATAACGAACAGGCTGTCTGTCACTGTCATATCATGTCATACATAGTTAAATGTACGTCCAGGCTGTTTATCACTGTAATATAACGTCATACATAGTTAAATGTATGTCCAGGCTGTACATCACTGTAATATAATTTCATACATAGTTAAGGGTACGTCCAGGCTGTATATCACTGCAATATAATGTCATACATAGTTAAACGTACGTCCAGGCTGTATATCACTGTAACATTATGTCATACATAGTTAAATGTACGTCCAGGAAATGTACGTCCATGCTGTATATCACTGTAATATAAAGACAAACATAGTTAAATGTACGTACAGGTTGTATATCACTGTAATATAGCGTTATTAACCACATGAAGATAATGTCATACATAATTAAGAACGAACAGGCTGTCTGTCACTGTCATATCATGTCATACATAGTTAAATGTACGTCCAGGCTGTACATCACTGTAATATAACGTCATTAACCACATTAAGATAAAGTCATACATAATAGATAACGAACAGGCTGTCTAAAATGCCATACATAGTTAAATGTACGTCCAGGCTGTTTATCACTGTAATATAACGTCATACATAGTTAAATTTACGTCCAGGCTGTATATCACTGTAATATTATGTGATACATAGTTAAATGTACGTCCAGGCTGTAAATCACTGTAATATAACGTCATACATAGTTAAATTTACGTCCAGGCTGTATATCACTGTAATATTATGTGATACATAGTTAAATGTACGTCCAGGCTGTTTATCAGTATAATATAACGTCATACATAGTTAAATGTACGCCTAGGCTTGTATATCACTGTAATAGAATGTCATTTACCACATTAAGATAATGTCATACATGATAAAAAACGAACAGACTGTCTATCACTTTCATCTCATGTCATTAAGTAATGTCATACATAGTTAAATGTACGTCCGGGCTGCATATCACTGTAATATTATGTCATACATAGTTAAATGTACGTCCGGGCTGCATATCACTGTAATATTATGTCATACATAGTTAAATGTACGTCCAGGCTGGATATCACTGTAATATAACGTCATTAACCACATTAAAATAATGTCATACATAATAGATAACGAACAGGCTGTCTATAATAGGCTGTCTTTCGCTGTCATATCATGTCATTAAGATAACGTCATACATAGTTAAATGTACGTCCAGGCTGTTTATCAGTATAATATAACGTCATACATAGTTAAATGTACGCCCAGGCTGTATATCACTGTAATATAGCCTTATTAACTACACTAAGATAATGTCATACATAATAAATAACGAACAGGCGGTCTCTCACTGTCATATCATGTCATTAAGATAATGCCATACATAGTTAAATGTACACCCAGGCTGTATATCATTGTAATAAAATGTCATACATAGTAAAATGTACACCCATGCTGTATATGACTGTAATATAATGTCATACATAGTTAAATGTTCGTCCAGGCTGTATGTCACTGTAATATAATATCATTAACTACATTAAGATAATGTCATACATAATAGATAACAAACAGGCTGTCTATAATGTCATACATAGATAAATGTACGTCCAGGCTGTATATCACTGTAACATTATGTCATACATAGTTAAATGTACTTCCAGGCTGTATATCACTGTAATATAACGTCATACATAGTTAAATTTACGTCCAGGCTGTATATCACTGTAATGTAACGTCATTAACCACATTAAGATAATGTCATACATGATAAAAAACGAACAGACTGTGTAGGGGGGTCATATCATGTCATTAAGTAATGTCATACATAGTTAAATGTACGTCCGGGCTGCATATCACTGTAATATTATGTCATACATAGTTAAATGTACGTCCGGGCTGCATATCACTGTAATATTATGTCATACATAGTTAAATGTACGTCCAGGCTGTGTATCACTGTAATATAATGTCATTAACCACATTTATATACTGTCATACATAATAAATAACGAACAGGCGGTCTCTCACTGTCATATCATGTCATTAAGATAATGCCATACATAGTTAAATGTACACCCAGGCTGTATATCATTGTAATAAAATGTCATACATAGTAAAATGTACACCCATGCTGTATATGACTGTAATATAATGTCATACATAGTTAAATGTTCGTCCAGGCTGTATGTCACTGTAATATAATATCATTAACTACATTAAGATAATGTCATACATAATAGATAACAAACAGGCTGTCTATAATGTCATACATAGATAAATGTACGTCCAGGCTGTATATCACTGTAATATTATGTCATACATAGTTAAATGTACGTCCAGGCTGTATATCATTGTAATATAATGTCATTAACCACATTTATATAATGTCATACATAATCAATAACGAACAGGCTGTCTAAAATGTCATACATAGTTAAATGTACTTCCAGGCTGTATATCACTGTAATATAATTTCATACATAGTTAAGGGTACGTCCAGGCTGTATATCACTGCAATACAATGTCATACATAGTTAAACGTACGTCCAGGCTGTATATCACTGTAACATTATGTCATACATAGTTAAATGTACGTCCAGGCTGTATATTACTGTAATATAATGTCATTAACCACATTAAGTTAATGTCATACATAATAAATAACGAACAGGCGGTCTCTCACTGTCATATCATGTCATTAAGATAATGCCATACATAGTTAAATGTACACCCAGGCTGTATATCACTGTAATAAAATGTCATACATAGTAAAATGTACACCCATGCTGTATATGACTGTAATATAATGTCATACATAGTTAAATGTACGTCCAGGCTGTATGTCACTGTAATATAATATCATTAACTACATTAAGATAATGTCATATGTAGTACTTATACAAGAGCTTTATCGTTCAGTCACAATAAGTAACGTTGAATTTCATCAATGATGTTTCTTTTAAATAATTGTAATAAAGCTTTCAATTTTGTTTTGGATCACGGAAAACAAACAAGTCGATATTAAATGTAACATGTTTTATTGTCAATATTAATATCATCAATACATTGTTAAAGAAATTGTTACAGAAAAATAAAGAATTACATAAAAAGACGAACACCTGTTGCTAATGATCCTTGTCCAACTGTATCGGGTTTTTTCTTATAGACAGTTTCACACTTAGTTTCAGTTTTTGGCTGTGTTACGGAGATCCGTTATGCATTGAAAAGAAGTTTTGTGTTGTCCTGTTTTAACACAATTGTTACATTATGCAGAAACAAACACAAAGTAACGAAAATCATCATCAATTCCATCGTTTTGATATTTATTAACCAAGTGAAGCCTTTGAAAAGACGACGACGATGATTATATTTACTGAACGGTAAAGCATATTATATCTAGGTAATCAGCCACTCAAATTATTCAGTTGTTTTCGTTTTTCCACAGGCAAACCAATTAAATAATCTTGTTATACGGCTTGCAATTGCATTTTTGTCACATTTTTCAATAAGTGATTTCTTACATAACTTCTTCTTGGTTACAGTTTTTGGAAGTGCTCTGCATAAACCCATCTGTTCGAATAGTTTTGTAAAAACGTTCTCAAAATTTCTCCCTGTTTTTGGAGATACTTCTTGCATCATTCCTTCCAAACCGTTTTGGCCTACCCAGTTCATTGCTTCAAAACACTCCACCTCTCGGTAGTTTTCCCTGTCCAGTTTGTTACCTATAACAATACATGGTATATCTCTGTGATCATTTCTTGTAAGCTTTATCTCCTTCCATGTTCGTTTCACCTCAGCAAACGAATCTTTGCTATCAATAGCAAACACGAGCATAAAAGCGTTTGCCTTCTGTATAGCTAGCCTCCTCATAGCAGGGAATTCAATAGATCCTGATGTGTCTAAGAACTTAGTCATGACTTGTTTCCCGTCGATAGAAACGTTATGGCAGTGCATATCTTCAATTGTCTCGTTGTATTTACAGGAAAAGGTACCGTTCAGGTACTTTTGTAGTACACTTGTCTTTCCCACATGGCCACTTCCAAGGACCACTATTAACTGATTATGTACCATCGTCGATCACGTAGAGCAAACACGCCACATTCACGTAACGTCTGCATTTATATAGCATCATTCAATTAACACTTACAGCTTTCTATCCCAGCATCCTAGTGCTGGCATTAGGTAACAGGAAGTTATGTCTTAACTCGTTGACCTTCTATATCACGTTTCAACCGAGTTTTAAACGCTTCGCTTCGTCGGTGACCTTTTCCAGACGATGACGGTGAGTCATTGAAATCATGGTATTTATTGACATTTTTATCATCCAAGGTTAGTAACATATTTTAAGATATTGTAATGATCACATCAGATTAATTAAACTGTAGGCAAATAGAAGCGATGATGTCTGTACTTTAAAATAATGAAGTTATTTCCCATGATGTATATTCGTTGACCAAACATTAATGGCAGAGACGTCATAAGAGCTGATTGCATTTACTCAACTTCAGAAAATGACCATGACTTAAGTCAATGTTGGCAAAAAGGTATCAACGAGGTAAAGTGCAGAGAGGCTGTTTGTTCACCTGCTCCTCTGTCTACAGTACTTTAGACAATTTGGATCCCAACTTTTTGGTCCCTGGCATCACCGATGAGTCCTAGGAGGACGAAACAGCTCTGTGATCTAATGATATTCCTATTTGGCATACTGTATCTTATACCAAATGTTAAAGGTGCAATCTCCTGTGTTTTTGCGTTACGTTCATCATTCAAAAACAAAATGTTTTCAAAATTTAAGATAAGGAAATCACTTGGTCCCAAATGTCAAAATACAGCAGAAAACTTCACAAGCAAAAGGTGTTTTTCTTTCATATGAGGTTAGAAAGAATGGCCAATTTAGAAATAATATGATCTGTAAAGCGGAATTATGCAATGTGTACGCAGTTGTTTAGGTGAATATATAGCTTTCTAGTTACCAGAATAATACTCCTGATAGCCCGGACAGTGATATCTGTCGTCTTGATAAGGACCTAAATAGAGACCAGTGGGTCACCACTGAACTTTGTAAGGAGCCGTTCGACTCTACAAAAACAAAGTGTCATATTTCTAGAACGAGACAAAATGGCTGCGTTCAGTTTAGTGTCCAGTATTTGTCTGTTAGTTGCCATTGGTATGTATTTATTTGTTTTCTGAGTATTGCATTATATTGATGGATGATCTAACAATATGTGAACATTTCTGTGTTTTACTTTAATAGATATTCACATTTATACGTGCAAATAAGCTGATACACAATACATCTCCAGCACACGCGCAGGCACACACACATATGGAGATATTAGCCAGGTGGCACATGACTAGTAGTTAGCGCCTAATAAGGCAGATCCTGCGAATTCCTGAAAATTGTATTGATTGTATGAAATGTATATCTATGTACTGTAAAGCGCTTTAGATTGAATTATTCTAGCTAGATAGGACGCTATGTCAAATGATCTATATTATACTTCTTTATATATAAATCAAACCGTCAATCTGGAAAAAGAGTAGATAACGGAATCATTTATCTAGGCAATATTCATTCAGATATATTTAATATGTCACTGTAATTGTTTACCCACCTATTCAAATCATCATCAATAAGTGAACTTAATGATATAATGAAAAAATCATCTAACAGAACATTAACCGCTTGTACAGTAAAGGATTAACAATACATTATGTTACATAGTGAAGATATTGACAATAAACTAGATTGGTACCAATGATTTAATTTAAATCAATTTAAGTCATTTGTAATGCATTAAGATATTTATAGTCAATAGGAACTTAAATGATTGAATAGCATACAACTTATACATAACAAGATAATGATTAGTCTATAGAAGCTGTAATGTACTCATCTACAGCAGGCTAACCTATTAAATTAAGTAAATTCAATTCTTTGGCATTCAGGGGATTCACATATTGCAGTTTGAAGTAAACTAAGTTAAATGGATATACAGTAAATTAAGTCATTTTAAATAAATGAATTGAGGTACAGCAGTTTATAGGTAAATGGAATTTACAATTAGATACTGTAACCATTTGAACCATACTGAATAGTCCAGAGTGATTTACTGTAAACTAAACAAATCAAACTAATTTAAATTATTTGCACTACATTAAAATATTTACAGTGCAAGTTAATTGATTTACAGCAATACGTTACAGTGATTTTGAATACTAATCCACTGTTATCTCAACAAATACTACTTTAGGTTTTAAGCTCACACGATTGATCATGTGAGCTATTGCCGCCCGTCTTCGTCCGTCGTCGTGGATGGTCCGTCATTCATAAACTTTTTTTAATTTTTTTTGACGTCTTCTCCAAAACAAATGAACCAATTTCAATAAATATTGCAGGAAGGTTCCTTTAGGCAATGTCAAATAAGAGTGTGAATTATATAGATTTAACCCCAAATGGGTCAGATTGGCGGGGCCAAAAGGGTTCAAATTGGCAAAGAAAATAACAATTTGCTTCTTCTTCCGACCCGGAAATGCTAGAATCAAATATAATGGAGAGGTCTTAAGGTGCTTTATAAAAAAATCATTACCCCCCGAGTCACCAATTCCCCCTATGGGTGTGGGTAAAAGTTTGATATAGTTTATATGGAGAAATAAGTCTTTTGGATATATTTTGTATATTTTCAGAGGTACATAATTCAAACTTGGCTGGGTTTATCATCATGCGATTGTAACTTGATGGTATGAAAATGAATACCCTGACTCACCCCTGGGGGTCCTAGGGGAAGGGGCTGAAATGTTAGAATAAAATTATCTTTATAGATTGAAAGAGTCCTAAGATGCTTTTGCATGTTTTGATACATTACAACAACAAATAACCCTTTTTGACATCTCTGGTGACTGTCAATGCCCATGGGTCTGTTGTCTATTTATGCTATATCAAAGCTCTATTGTGTATAAAGTTTGTGCTATACATTGTATAGACAGTTAACTGTTGTAGTTATTGACTCTAAATCGATGTAATTCGTGTAAGCGTTAAGGCCCGTTGAACCTCTTGTTCAACTCACCTGGTCTGAATGACCAAAGTGAGCTTATGCAGTACCGAAGCCTTCTTCGTCGTCTCTCTGTCCGTCGATTGTCCGCCAACAATTTCGTAAGACAACTTCTTCTGTGATTGGAATTTGTACAATTGTACAAATAGAGGGGCTGACCCACGCAGGTGGATGAAAGGCGGGGCAATACATAGGTTATTTGGCGTTATTCCATTAAGCGACTTCTTTTCTGGTTTTAAATGACATCATATATTGTAGCAACTGGAAGTGGATTGGCAGAGTGTCCGGATGAGTGGGTATCTTTCCAGGAATCATGTTACTACTTCGTTAATAACCATACAACATGGCACGCTTCTTCTGTAAGTTCATCAAACCACCAAGTGTACAGTTTTGCAAAATACATAATATCTTTATATACTTTAAGGTATAATGCGAACTCACGTAATAACATTTCACAACACAAATTGTGACCATGTTACAAGATTTGTGTCAATATAATTATCATTAGATACCGGTCAATGAATATAAAGAAATGTATGAAAATCATGATTATTATGTAATTTACATATTACTGTAAAGGAGGGGTTCAACAATATTGCTAAAATCAAACACAGTGAAATCCCACTACAATCCCATTAATCACCTACTGTGTACACATAAATATTGTGTGGCCACTATATATGTAAGTGTTGTTTTACATGGACTGCCTAGCCTAGTTGTCCGGTGATAATCTGTTTCGAGTTCATTTAAGCTTGCATAACAGCGTTGGGTTACAAGTATTTTCAACATGTCCGTAAAAGTGGTTAACATTTTCGATTATTTCGCTTGCGTTTAGAATTCACGGATATTAGTCAAAGCGCGAATATAGCGAAACTAAAACACCCACGAAATATAGCCCTAGCCCGCTAAACAGTACTCCACTCATTGGAAACACTTGAGAAACGTATGGATTAAATCTAGATAATTTAATGACGGGTGTTGATACCTAGAGGGGGGCTGGGGGAGTGGTTATTTGAACTAAATCTAGATAATTTAATGACGGATGTTAATACCTAGGGGGTGTGGGGGTGTGGGGGTGTGGAGTGGCTATTTGGATTAAATCTGGATAATTTAATGACGGGTGTTAATACCTAGGGGGGGGGGGGGGCTTGGGAAGGAATGGTTGTA